CTTAAATGGAAGAAGACATGTACAAGAACAGATTTGATCAGAATTGCAACAACCAGTCAACATTAAACTCAAGATATAAGGAACTGTATGTTAATGCTGAAAGCGAAAATGATCAAATATGCCAAATTTTGTCCTTAATTATCTTATTTCTAGACACTAGTACACTAATGAAGGTCCTTAAACATCTGAAAAACATTAAATAATACATAGTGTTTATATTAAATAGCTAGAGTTTTGTTTGAGTTGAACATTTTGACTTTTTGTAGTTTCCATTTTTAGCCAATTTTTTCTAAAAGATTCAAGGTATGTCTTCTTCGGACCAATATTTAGATATGTTCGCAAGAGTTATATGCTTCGCAGGCGAAATCCCTTATGCAGCAAAGCCTAATAGAATGAAAAATACAGAGAAACTCCATCCAGCTCACAAAGTCATTTTTTGCACAATTCTCACACCTTCCACCCCGAGTAAAAGCCCATACATATTTTAATAGGATTTACCCCATGCTGCCATCTTTTTATCTACCAAAAACCTATAGCCCATAGGCCTACATAATGTAAACATCACCCGTGTTGGTAACCTTCCATGAAGTGAATTCATTGAGTCTCCATTAAAGGTATATAACATAGAGACGTTGCAATTTTGAATGATTTGTAATTCTAATAAATTAATGATATGATACAAGTCGGTTAATCCAATGTATTCACTGGCGGATCCAGAGACTAAAAAGGGGGGGGGCACGTTTCAAATCAGAATTCGGGCCAACTTTTCGAAAATTTAGAGGCCTGTTGGGGGGCCCGTTTTTGATAATACGGGCTAAATGGGCCTAAAAAGGCCAAGTAATTATTGTACAAAAAAGGCCTACTAATTAAAGTCCTACATTTTTTTGGGGCCCAAGCGATGTAACAAATAAACGAACGACGTAATTTTTACCACACTGACTAGAGCAGATCTAAATACTCCACACGAGCACAAGCGATTTTTGGGGCCCAGCCTTTTTTTCTGGGCCCAACCAAGTGTGTGTGTGTGGGGGGGGGGGGTTGCGGACCATGGACATGGATCCGCCAGTGGTACTATTGGCAAAAATAATTGGTTTCGTGTAGACTGATTTAAGAGTTAGGCAACCGGGGTAACCAATTGCGATCGATCGCGCCTCTGATTCATTCGTTCCCGATCTCTTGATAGTCTCGATTCACGTTACGGATGCTTTATTAAGAGCATCGTAATAATTTGGAGAATTCGTGCAAATGAAAATACACACGAAACTAATCACGAGATGTGTGACTGAAATATATCATTCACGATTTTTATCGTGTACACTTCCCTCAAAAAGTTTGGAAATCCCAGCCTCGTAGATTTTTAGTAAACAAACGTTAAGAATAAATCAATTTGAAAAAACAGATTGGACTTTTACGAAAGGTACGTAGGGCGCTATTTGGAAATCTTAGAATTGAGATTTTGTGGAAATGGATCAGAATCACAAGACAATGCTCATTATGCCTAAGACATGAAACGATTCATCGAAACGATTACGATGAGTTCACTAGGCCTAACTTATCCAAGTCCGGTCATGGCCCATATTGTAGAGACAATGGTGATGATAATGGGAGCGGGGTGGATCTGGGAACCAAAAGGGGGGAGGGGGGGGGCATATTTCAAGTCTGGAAGATTGGGCGGAAAAATGTGGGCCCCTAAAACCAAAAAGTGAGCCCAACATTTTGAACATTTAAGGCCCATTTTCTCGATAATTTGGCCCAAAATCTAAATTAAGGCTTTAAAATGCCCAGTAATGCCCCAAAAAGGCCCACTAATGAGGCCCCCAAAACCACTCGGGCCCAATTTTTCCTGCCCCCCAGATCTGCCAGTGGGAAGTAAGATCTACGAATGTGCCATACTTCTCTTTACATTTTCTGATGTTGACACAATATTGAGTAAAACAGTTCAATACAAGGCAGATTCCGTTTTCACACGTTCCATCTTTACAAACACGTGACAGCTATCCTTCTTTGAAAGTTTCACTTTTGTGTACATATACTATACAATGAAACTTGAACATGTATATATGAACTCCTCTCTAATCTGAACACCTCTCAATGTGAACACTTTTTCTCGGTCCCAATTTTTGTTACCTTCCAAACATTCACCCAAGTTGACATACAGAGTGTTCCAAAAATAACAGGACTGTTGCTGGGATTTTGTCAATTCTGTACCAAATGCTATGGCGGATCCGGGGGGCCCACGGGGCCAAAAAAAAAATTTTAGGCCAAAAAAGGCCTTAAGGCCCCAAAAAGTGGGCCTTTTGGTCATTATTGGGCCTTCTTAGGCCTTATTTTTTTAATTTTAGGCCAAATATTGAAGAAAATGGGCCTCAAATTTTCAAAATTTGGGCCCACTTTTCGGTTTTAGGGGCCCAAAATTTTTTTCTCAAATTTGGGCCCCCCTGTTGGTTCCTGGATCTGCCACTGAAATGTCTTCAAATTTTACATGAAAGTACATCATGTAAAATTTTAAAGCCGTTTTGTGCATATTTAACAAAATACCAGCACCAGTCCTGTTACTTTTGGAACACCCTGTATGAACATCTGCTGATCCAAACACTTTTAGTTGGTGTTCGGATAAGACAGGTTTTACTGTAGTAGGAAAGTCGACATTAAAATGAGCATAATACTGTACTGACCATTTTCCCCTGCTGGCACGTTAACCTAGTCGGTATTTCTTAAACTTGATTGAGCCGTTTAACTTTTATCCCAAACCTATGTCTAACTTTCATCATCGGATTAAGTCGAACTGACACGACCTTTGTATATTGCACTCTTTAAAAAACAACCAAAACATTATGCTGTTAGTACCCATTAAATCGAGACTATAAACCTCGAGGCTGCTCCTTCGGGAGAAGGGATATTGACTGAGATACATCAGTGCGACCCGTTTTCAACAAGGCATGCGAAATGTCACCACCTGCCATTTGTTACAGACGCAGAACACCGTCCACAAAAGTTGGAGGCTGTAACAATATGTCACTAATTGTGGTGGTGACATAAAAATGAAGTATTGCCATGATACTGTACCTCCATTGTGAGGCCCACGGCCAGTACTATCTCTTGGAATAGAGATCTCTCACAAGCTTTAGATAAAGAGAAACTCTGATAAATCAGAATGCTGTACCTCATCCTCGGTCCAGGGGTATTTCACTTATTTCCATATTGAATTGAGTAATAATAAATGAAGTCCTTTGTTTGAAGGATGTAGGCCCATAGCCAGGGGGGGGGGGGTCGATGGGTTCGAACCCCCCAGGCCAAAAAATCTTTCAAAATCTGCCATTCTGAGCACTTTTTCAGTGATTTTGGCCATTTTTGGACCAAATTTGTCAAAGGTGAACCACCCTGGAATTTTTCAAAAAGTGAACCCCGCCCCTTGGCAAATACTGGCTAAATCATCAAACAGGTACTGTACTTTCAGGTGCTGTTTATCTTTTTATATTCTATATGTAGTGAAGGCTTAATACTTCCTCTACAAGACCCTTGTATTTGTCTATTAGTCCCTGTGTAAATATTTTGATATAATGTAACTGGATGTCAAGACCTTCTTTAGCTATATATCTGATCATCTCGATTGTCTCAATCCAGAAGGTCAGAAGAATCAGATTCAATTGTAGTTTCAAAATGTCAACAATTACCCAAATGCGAGTAGGTAGTTACCAGTTTCACCACCAGGTGGCTGATTCGGGTCAATTAACATGGCAGGTATATAAGAAAGTTCCCTTAAACTTGAATATTATCAATTTAAGTGGCTCAATTTTCATATAACCCTTATGCGTCTGATACTTATACTAATGAAAATATGTCCAGCAAAGCAAAATATTATCTGTCCACTAAAAGAAAAGATATTTCATTTTTTGTGATTTTATAGCATGGGGTCTATGGGGAATCTCCCCGAGCTAGAAGTCACATTTTCAAAGAAAATTAATTTTTCAAAGTTGATAAACACTTTTTAAAACCACATTTCTAGATGTAATTTTACATGTAGATTTCAAATATGATATTACTTTGACTGAATTTTGAATTTTTAATGACGTAAATTAAGATTATTTCTACTCGCATCTGGGTTATTGGTTAGTTGCAAAATATTAAAACCGGGAAACTCAAGAATAAATTGAGAATGAACTTATGTTATATTGAACAAGACTTGATCAGCAAGCTTAAAGCGGACACCCACTAACATGTCACATCTCAAGTTAGTCACTTTTATTTATTCATTTACGCCAAGTCTTGATTCAAGCCCGAGCTCTTCCTACCAAACCAATCTAGATGTGGCAATAAAGAGACCTAATGCACGACTGGAGATATTGAATTACTAAAACTGACAATGTATGTTTTGTTGCGTCTCTGCGGCAAACTGTAATGATTAGTTTTGATAAAGATAAGAGTATAATTGAATGTAGGATTAAGATAACATTGATGACTTGTCGTGTTCACCTCGAAAAAAGTAGGTCACTACAACCTCAAACAAGAACGTGCGTTGGACAGTCTAAAAGTATCCTGCACGCAGAGTCTAGTTAGAAACAAACTCTCTTTTAAAAAGTGAAGTCAAACGAATGCAAAGGGTAGTCTCAACAGGGTTTAATTGGAAATAATTGAGCAATTTTGTAAGAAACATGTGTGATATTTTATCAAATGTGTTCAGATTAGACAGGTTAATTTTTCAAATAAGACTGTTCACTGTTCAAATTGGGAGGTGTTCACATTGCAAGTTTTTCTAACATGGGAGTCAATGGGAGGAAAAAATGGGACTGGAAAAGTTTTTAGATTAGGAGGTGTTCGGATTAACACGGTGTTCGTATACACATGTTTCACTGTACAAAAATAATCTAAAATTCAAATGCAACATCTCACAAAAACGAAAACAGGCTAATGTATTTATTTTATTATATTTTGATACACAAATAAACAATTAGTTAATTACAAGTAGTATCATATTACATGTATTATCTGTCTAGATTTAATTATGAACATGATAGATCTTTAAACGAAGGGCATTCTAGATCTAATAACATGGTGGTCATTCTAGATATCAGTTGTCATTCTAGAACCTAGATCAACCCAGTCATAGATCTCATGTGCTCTTTTTCTTCCATCTGCTTTGCATATGGTTATACTTGAGAATGTTGACACCCAGCAATGTTGCATTGACAATATATGTTGATACACAGATGATGCAAAAGTCTTGTAAGATGAAGTAGAGAATACAGCCGAGGTAGATGGAGCCCAGATTAGCGATGCACGAGAACACAAGCTGCACGATAGAGCCACTAACTGTGTGATTTTCACCTGAAAATATAATCAAAAATTGTTGAATTGTTCTTGATTTAACGTAATTATACATGTAACTTACAAATCTTGAACAAATACCGCCCATTTTGGCATTTTTCAATCTAGATGGGATTTACTGTCTCACTGTACATTAGTTCAATTCAAGAATCTGAGACTAATCTCAGGAGAACCATTTGACCAGAAATTCTACCAAAGACCACATGGTCGGAGTGCAACTTGATTGCTTGAAGGATATTAACGTTAACTTACCCAGCATTATCTGGAAGACATAGAATGTTAGTCCAAAGATACTATTTGGCTGGTTCAACCAATGGTCTTTATCAACAACATATTCTAGCAATCCAAAACCGCGACCCCATCTGAAAAAACATATGTGTAGGCCTATATATTATGGAGTTCACACATAGCTATATTCTATGAAATCTTAGGTGCATTGCAAAGACACACCATCTGATGTCAAAGGGAAGCCTACTGTCAACTCATCGGAAATTACCCCCATAAATGTGGGGTTGATTTTTCATACTACTTGTGTATTGATGTCTTGGGGTTGTAAATCAGGTGGATTAGTGGTTATTGAGATAAAGTTCAGCATTGTTTTAACTACTGACAACGTTTTACAATCCCAAGTTTTCAATACACAAGTAGTTGTGGGGGTGATTTGAAAAATGGGGTAATCAGAAATGGGCCCTATGAAATCAAAACAGAGGATATAAAAATGTGACTTGTAATGTATTCAGTGATGTACTATGTTGATTACACCATGGACCTCCATCCATCTAAAGAGGCCCATGCTTAAACATACACTACATACAACCTGTATAAATAAAATGAAACATTTTACAGATCTATTATCACCCACCTTGAAGTGAACACTTTTGAGCAGCTAACGTATCCATTATAATCACACATGGCCCTAAACATGGGGTCTCTTTCTTTGTTAAATTCTACGTAGTATGCATAGATTGATAAAATAATGCCAAGTATGCACAAAGTGGCATTTAAAAATCGAATAAAAAAATAATTTGTCATTTTTTAGTTTTTCAATTTTTCTCGCTGTAGCGAAACATATTAGCGATGCATTAAATGTTCCCACAGAGAAACATTTTGTTCCCTTTTCATAGTTTCATTCTTTTGACAATTTTAGCTTTAATTAGGCATTAATACCAGATTAAAACGACGGCAGAATTAAGTCAACATGGGCCAGTCACTAAAGGAACTGGACAAATGGACAATACAATGGCTGCGGGAAAGAGAATTGGGACAACGTTTCACCATCAGACATCAGCCATCACGAGACACATTGTGGAAAACATTGTACAGTCGTTTCCACGTGCAATCAATGTGGCATCCCAATGACACAGTGGATGACACTCATCATGGAGCTGTGTTCAATTTTGACTTCTCTACTGATGGGTAATTAGACAAAAACAATATTGTTTCTTGCCCGTAGCCTTACTTCGGTCCAAAGCCTTCTCTATATTCCGGCTTTGAGGAGGAAGATTGAGCTGCCTTAGTATTATAAATATTGTAAATCATTGTGTCACACGCACAGTAAATATGGCATAATAATATGAAATATACCTTTATGTATAGATTTGAAGAGCATCAGCTCACATCCCCGTCTGAATCTATTGTTATATTTGATTTCTTTAAGCGAGAATAATTTCAAATGTTATTCACGTCCAGAACCGGAAGCCATTTTTAGCTACAGCGAGAAAATTTCACCATGTGTCAAAGTCCGAAATGAAATTTTGAAATATCTAAATCCAGACAAGCAACGCTTCATCCTAAATATGATTAATATTCTTAAAAATATTTATAAAATTTATTAAAAATGAGTTCTAGGTGCGTGTAGGTGCGTGTAGCACAATACATACGAAATCAATGAAGTTTCGTCTAGCTGTAAGCTAGAGACTCGAGTAACCGTAGCCAGCTTTTACCAGGAAGGGGAGCTTTTTTCCAGGGGGGAGCTTTTTCACAATTTTGGCTAAAAATCATGCGAAAAATTCTCAGAATGGTGAAAAGCTGCATGATTTTGAAAGAATTTCTGGCCAGGGGGGGGGGCAGCGGGGCTTCTGCTCCCCCAGCTCCCCCTCTACATGTAGCTATGGGCCTGAATTTATGTCAGGCTGATAGTCAACACGTTATCCGATCTTACTCCAGTAATTCTTGGCTAGAGGTAATTTCATCTGGAATACTGTGAACTCTGGCTGGTGTGTCATAAATTCATTGAAATCGCCAGATAAATAAATCATTAATTAAAACGGGACTGGCTCGGCTCCTTGATGAGATATTGCATGATTTCGTCAGGATTTCGTTTTATATTAAAGCAAAATGGCTCCAAGAAAAATGGCGATATTCGAAAACTGGACGAAATGTCGTTAATGTCTGACATTAGTAACTGGCTGTAAATTTTAAGTTAACGATCCAGAAGATGTGAACTAGTACATTGATCACTTCATGTATGTTTTGGAATTTTTGGTAAGGTAATAAGATCAAAACTCGCAATTCAAATTGTGATGTGGAAAAATGGCGGACATTTGATTTTAAATTTTATGATAATGACATGACCCGTTATACATGCAGGAATTTTTCTTTGGACGAAGGCCACGATACAGTGGCCTTGGAAGAAGGTAAATCTGATCTATTGCTTTTCAAAAATATAATACTATGAATCCAGTTTGTGAGGCCAACGTACATCTGATTGGTTAATTAATTGGTTAATTATGGTGCTGTAATATCACCACTTGGAAGTTGGAATAAGTCACTGACCCCTCCTATTATTGAGATAGAACTAAAATGATACCATTTGCACTTATTTGACTTTGTTTCTTTGCTTTGTCTCTTCCAGTTCAAAATGAATTTCTGAACTCACTGACTGAGCCTATTAAAGTTTGTTGTCGAGATAAGGATGACTTTCCATATGTGGTAATTTCCTCTGACATCATCGCATATAGTTAATGCTATGAGCAGGCATTTGGCACATGTTCCTTCCAGCTCACTTCCCTGAGAAAAGATTTATTGCCCCGTTTGTCAAAGGCGCTAGTCATGTGAGGGGGCTGCAAAACTGTACTCTATATAGTTTATAACTACACTTTGCATGCACTATAAGGATGGAGGGGGTTGATGACTTACTCCCTGTGAATGTTAACCGAACACCATATAATGAAGAGATGTGTTGGATATGATTATATGAATGCACCAGGGTAAGGTTTAACGAAGAGAAACCATAGTTTTCAATGATTTAATGAACTACCATACATGTACATGTACTGTAATTTAACATTTGTTTTCAGGTCAGTATTGGCTGCTGCATGTGAACAAAAGTCTTTGTTATTGTTTGATCCTCTGAATGGAAAGCTGATTCATACCCGCAATGCAGCCCATACAGATTGTGTCAACTGTGTCAAGTAAGTTCTTACATCACATTTGAATAAACAACAAAAACTTTACGAGAGTAACATCACAAATGAAATTTCACAAAAAACTTTACAAGGGATTCAGGGTGCCAAATAGTACACAATTTTTATGTCTCCACCATATTGTTATAGTCTCCAACTTTTTTGTGGTTGGTGTTCGGTGTTTGGAGGTTGGTGTTTGGCATTCAGTGATTGGTATTCAGCAATCAGTTTTTGGTAGTCATTGTTTTAATTGCTTATTCCAAAATATCCTGTCACAATGTGGTTGAGATTGGTATTTATGTTTAATTTTAGATTTCTTGACTCACGTCTGTTCGCCAGTTGCTCCGATGATACAAGCATTGCATTATGGGATTGCCGTTACCTAAAGAACAGAGTGCGGACTTTACAAGGCCACTCTAACTGGGTAAAGAACATCGAGTACTCGCATGATGATGGCATGTTATTGACTTCTGGTTTCGATGGAAGCATTTTCTTATGGGATATTAACAAGTAAGTGGTCTCAGAAATTTGTCGTTCTGTAGTTATAAGTATATTATATTTGAAGCTCCTAATGAGAAAATATCCACCTATATTTGATTTCATGGTCAAGTCATATCATTGTATCATTTTGTATCATATCATATTGTATGTTATCATATCATATTATATCATAATCTCATTACATTAATTTATTCATATAGATCTAGAAATTACATGTCATTTTAGTGATCTCTCTATCAATAGACATGATAGAGCAACAAGGTAAAATAATGAGATAATTTGACAAAAACAGGCTCCATGTTGAGGACATTATCATATTATTATATAGATCTAAGCATTAAAACTTTACAGATTATATCATATAAAGTATTTCATAAAAACACTTATTTCATGTAAAATATATTTTTTCAAGGTACTCTGAACAGAATGAGGGTAACTGTGTGTTCCATATGAATGGATTAATGCGCTCAAAGTTAACACCAGATGCTTCAAAACTTGTTATATCCACAACTGGTGGCTACCTGATTGTAATACATGACCTCAATCTGAACACCTTATCACATGATTTACAGGTAAGGTTAGTGCGGCAAAATATGTTTATCTGAACACCTCTCTAATCCGAACACTTTTTAATCAGAGTACTTATCTCAGCACTATGATCAGCAGGTATGGCTAGAACATTAAAGTCTGTATAGTGAACGCCTAAGATGAAGTGTACATTTATTATTTGAAGTTGAGGTCAGCATTTAATTTATTATATAGTGTTCGAATGTGTACCATCTTGAACACTTAAAGACTGATCTGAGTTTAGAATCCTGTTTTCATAATTCTAGGGCTTCAGGCCAAATATGTACAGATTAATGCAGATGAGTGGCCAGCCAATCAGACAAGGCTACCAATTCAACCATCTTTTTGAAAGAAAACGGAACAGGGTTGAGTTCATTTCTGATTTCCCAACTGGCAATGACGCTGAAGTAATCGCCTCGTTGCAGGTAATAAAACAGCTCAGAGGTTTTTTAGTGCAGAATTTTGAATTATTAACAGTTCACAACATTTTAGAGTTTTATATTTGTTTTTATGCAACATTCAGAATTTTATATTAGCTATTGATGTAACAGTTTAGTGTATATTAGTGCAACATTTCAAGCTGTACCCCAGAGATTTCAGTGTGGGAGATCATTGCATCTTGAATGTCTTTAGACCATATTTAATTTCGCATAAATTGTACTTTATTTGATTTTTGAGTAAAAAATCAGGAATGATGTATTTCCAACAGGCAATATTGGTCATTTTGGCAATAAATAAAGCCACTTACACTTTGTAAAATTTTCACTCTCATATTGGATCTAATGTAAGTTGCCTATGCAGTTGGTGACATTTTGTCAAGTTAATGCCTAAATTTTTCATGTTGTCTTCATATGTTACAGGTTCACCCTCAAGGTTGGTGTGTGCTCTCCAGGAATACAAGTGGTGATGAAAATACAGAGGTAAATTCTCATGCAATTTATACAATTAATAAAATACAAATATTTAATTCTATTGAGGTGAATACCTATGCATCTTTCACAAATGATATTCCACAGAGCCCGAAAGGAATATCATCTTGTGAAAGTGTCACAGGTATTCACAGAAAACAGAATTAAATATTTGTTTTATTATTCACTGTTATAGTCCTCACTTACATTAATGGAATAACAAACGACTGATGTCTAAATTTAATTATAACAATGTACTTCCGGGTGTATATAAAATCAAAATTACACTGGACTTAATCGGACTGGTGAATATTATACAAATATTTAATTCTATTGAGGTGAATACCTGTGCATCTTTCAAAAATGATATTCCACAGAGCCCGAAGGGAATATCATCTTGTGATAGTGTCACAGGTATTCACCAAAAACAGAATTAAATATTTGTATATTCAACAGAAGTCACGTGACTTCCATTGAATATCGCTTGTTACTTTTTAGTCACGTGAAGGACATGGACCAATCAGAGAGTGAGGAATATAACAGTGATATAATAATCTCATATATTTTACAAAGATTGACATTTGATCTAAGGATATTTCAATAAATCACAAGTGGTGACATATCGTTATAGTCTCCTTCTTTATTGTGTTGTATTGTATTTTGTTTACCACCAATGAAGGTGAGCAATACCTCTTGGGTATATCCCGTATATATACGGTCGTAATTAACGTAAGCCTGGAAAATAGACCCAGAAACCCCTCCTCAAAGGAGCCTGTGTTCTTTCATGTGCACCCATACATAGACATACAAGTACACACCACAACCTTTTGTACGAATTGTGGATGGTATTCAGCGGTTGCTGTTCCGCCTTCGGTGACCGATGTCTGTACCAAATGGCAGGTGGTGACATTTTACATGTTAATGCCTTGAATCCTCTGTATTTCACTCCATATGCAATTTTAATAGTTAAAAAAATTATTTTATTTTCAGTTTACGTCTGTACATGACATACAAACAATTCCTAAGGATTCCAACAATGAAAGAACAACTACCGAACAGCCCCCCGAAACGAGGCCTGAACCCCAATCAACACCCTCTGGTAGCACCCCCACTAGGGGGCATGGTTCTGTCGTTATCAACATCAGGGTTGAAGAGACGGACGATCCTAACGAGGCAGGAACTGTTCAAATACGCCCAGTACACGGTCGGCAAAATAGTGGGGATATAGAAACCATTCCATTACATCCAAGAGTACCAGAGCCTATTCCAAGTACATCAGGTGGGAATCTCGAAACTGTTCTTACTAACAGAGAATTAACTCCAGATGAACCTATGGAGGTTGCACCAAGTGGGGATCAAGAAACTGACAGAGAACCTGTTTTATCAGGTTCATCTGAGGAGGATTTAGAAACAGTGAGAGTACAATCGATGTTCAGAGACGCCAACAGAGAACAAGAATCAAGGACTGATTTATATCAGATTGGTGATACATCACCCAGAAGTGATTCAGACAATAGACAACAATCACCCAGAAGTGATGCAGGAAATAGGCAACAATCACCCAGACGTGATTCTGACAATAGACAACAATCACCCAGAAGTGATTCAGGAAATAGGCAACAATCACCCAGAAGTGATTCTGACAATAGACAACAATCACCCAGAAGTGATTCAGACAATAGACAACAATCACCCAGAAGTGATTCAGGATATAGACAACAATCACCCAGAAGTGATTCAGGATATAGACAACAACCAACCAGAAGTGATTCAGACAATAGACAACAATCACCCAGAAGTGATTCAGACAATAGACAACAATCACCCAGAAGTGATTCAGACAGTATACAGCAACCACAGAGAAGTGATACAGATCATAGAGAACAATCACTTATGAGACAATCTGAGAGTATGGAGGACATATCCAATGAGCCAGTTGGCGAAGAACCAACTAATGCATCAAATACTAATGAAAGTGATCCAGTTATGTCATATGCATTTATAAATATAGGTGTTACATATGGCGAGGAGAATAGTTCACAACCAAGTGCTTCAAATAGACAGCCAAGGGCATCAAATAGACAAATAAGTGCATCGAATAGACAAGTAAGTGCATCAGATTTTCATAGTTCTGATTCAAGCAGCAGTGAAGATTCATCAAATTCATCAAATGTACAAGTTAGTGCATCAAATGTACAAGAAAGTGCATCAAATGTACAGGAAAGTGCATCAAATGTACAAGAAAATGCATCAAATGTACAAGAAAGTGCATCAAATGTACAAGAAAATACATCAAATGTACAAGAAAATGTATCAAATGTACAAGAAAATGCATCGAATGTCCAGGAAAGTGCATCAAATGTACAAGAAAATGCATCGAATGTCCAGGAAAGTGCATCAAATGTACAAGAAAATGTATCAAATGTACAAGACAGTGCATCAAATGTACATGAAAATGCATCAAATGTACAAGAAAGTGCATCAAATGTACAAGAAAATGCATTGAATGTCCAGGAAAGTGCATCAAATGTACAAGAAAATGCATCGAATGTCCAGGAAAGTACATCAAATGTACAAGAAAGTGCATCAAATGCACAAGAAAGTGCATCAAATGCATATGAAAGTGCATCAAATGCACAAGAAAGTGCATCAAATGCACAAGAAAGTGAATCGAATGTACAAGAAAGTGCATCAAATGAACAAGAAAGTGCATCAAATGTACAAGAAAATGCATCAAATGTACAAGAAAGTGCATCAAATGTACAAGAAAATGCATCAAATGTACAAGTAAGTGTACGAGAAAGTGCAACAAATACAACAGACTCCGATTCGGACAGCAGTGATAACGAAGAAAGTGCAAGGACATCCCACGAACAACGTGGTTTGAATAGAACGTCGTCTACAAGGCATCAAATCATACCTGCTCGGCAAAGAACGCTAGGAAGTCAAACTTTTGGGAGAGGGCGTATATCAATCGGGGATCTCCAAGCGGGGCCATTCAGACAACAATTACAAAGTTTAACTGGCCCGAATAGAGAAACTGTTACATATGTGATTAGATCAGGAGCAAATGTAGCCGAACAAACTATGTTGTTATTAAATCAGGGACAGAGCTCTCGACCACGTGTACCTTCGGGGGCGAGGATTCACCAGAATACACCTAGATTAACTCATTACATTTCCGAGCCAAACGTCGGAAGGGGCTTCATAAAGGAGTTGTGTTTTAACTCAGATGGACGTTTGATTTGCTCACCATTTGGTTTTTCTGTTCGATTATTGGCGTTTGATCCCGATTTGCGGGAATTGTGCGATTGTACACTGGACCAGCCTGTTGTTCTTTACGAGGTTAACAGTCATATTAATCACGCCAGTTATGTCGTATCGACAAAATTTAGCCCTGTTCATAGTCTGTTTGTAACGGGAAGCATGGAGGGTAAAGTCGCATTTTACCAACCAAGACTATAGGCCTCAACACTGAAAAAAGGGGAGGGGTTGGTTAACTTGCTATCTGTCCTCCCTGAGCTCCCTGAATTCTGAGTCCACATTTCTAGGGCTAGTATCAGGCCTGTAACCAGGATTTCTGTTTCCTTCGGATAATGAATGGATCTTAAAGATATGCCTACATGTATCTTCGTAGTCAGCATGAGCGTTATACTCTGTAATCCAATTAGTATTACTATATAGTATATACTATATATTTCATCCAATACAATTCGGATGAAATGATTTTGCTTCTAGACAGACATCACATGAGTTCCATTTACAGATACGAACAGAACTAATACGCTACATATATGAAGACAGTAAATGGTTGAATCCTATCTACATGTAATTTAATGTTTTGGATAACCCGTGCGGTACATGTATTTTGTCTTGCTAATGTTGCAAGATTATCTTTTAAAGTAAAGTTGCCATTAAAAATATTTGTCACTAGTTTGTCCATATGAGCCAAAACTCAGCACGATTGAATATTGATCATAAAAGAGTATATACCGTTACTACATTTCTCCTTTATTAACTTGTAATAGCGTATGTAATCCATTTCATTCTGACGCCAATCTTATTTTATTTAAGATTTAAATTTTAAAAATACACTTCATTATAAAATATTAATTCTAAAAGATACACTGTTGCTTCATTGTGAATTCGTAACTTTTCAGAAAAAATCTATTATAAGATTGAATTAAATGGCCAATTACTATGGTTTAATATCCTGATGTCGAAGTGATTTTGCCCCTACTACTGTAGACATCCCGTCCTTGTTAAAGTTTCGAACGGGACACGTGCCTTGGTCACATTTGCTACGATTTCACTACGGCGCCAGGCAGATTGAGTTTTTTGTTCAAAATTGAATACAAAGGAGGAGGGAAATTAGCGCAATAGATTTCGGACAGTCGTATGTTGGTTTTTGGCCATCTTCTGATGATTTAAACAGGTGCTATGTTAGGCCAATACATTACCTCCAGGAAAAGCACTTCCATCCCTGCTTTTTTTTTAGTTTTTCTTGTATCAATATGTTACGTTTTGACATACAGTTAACCCCTTTAAAGGAATAAGTGATTCCTTTCAGATAAAGTAGAAAACAATATTCCCCATGTTATTTTCCCATAGGGAAAACTCATGCGACCCATTGGTTTCAGCTAATTTTGGTCACCCATAATGGATATCTTTGAAACCCCTGAATGAATCACCTATTCCTTAAAGTGGTTAACTGTGTGTCAAAACGCAACATATTGATACAACAAAATTGAAAAGCAGGGATGGAAGGGGTTGAAAATCCGGACACCATTTCAGAAAAAACATGTGGGTGGGTTGTTTGCACCTCCCCTGTCTCAAAGACGAAATTATTTTATCATCTCTTTGAGTGCTTTTCCTGGAGGTAAAGCATTGATCTATCATATGCACCTGTTTAAATCCTCAGAGAATAGCCACAATCCAACATATGACTGTCCGAAATCTGTTGCGATACTTTCCCTCCTCCTTTGAAGAAAACATTCAATCGGCCGGGCGCCAGCCGATGGATAGGAGCAAATGTGACCCAGGCATAATACGCTACATAGCCCCACATGAGCACAGCAACTTGAATGGTTAAATCCATCCTGATACTCATCACAATCTGCCTTAACCTAACATAGAAATATGAAGGTCATTCTTTCTCATTGATGAGTTAAATCTTACCTTATTTATTTTATGAATTCGAACTTTTGGGTATTTTTGACCATGGGTTCGCACGAACATCTCGAACCCCCGCTGGCTACAGGCATGAGTACCTCATCATCATAAAATTGTTGTACATGAGTCAGAATGACTTAACTTTAAGGTTGATGGAAATTTAAAATCATGAGGTTTATAATGCCACAAATTACAAGTAGCTCACATTGTTGTTGTTTTGTTTAAATAAAGTAGAATGGATAAAGATAAGATGAGTATGTTGGCTGTGAGTTTGTCACCACCAGAAGTGGTGACATATTGTTATGATATCCAACTTTTTTGTGTTCAGCGTCTACAACATGGCGTCTGTAAAAATGGCAGGTGGTGACATTTTGCAAGTTAATTGCAATTGAATTTTCTTGCATGTGCAGCCAAGACACTATGTGTTTTGTAATAACGCAAATTGAATAGAATAACACATTTCAAGATCACAGATCGTACGCCACCTACATGTACTACATGATGGGGAAAATATGAAATGGGTTTGAATTGAGAAAAAGATCATCTAGAATATGGGGTATTATCAAACCTCACTATTCGCCAACCGCCATACACTCGTTCGGGAAGCGAGCGTAGCCTGTAGTTTTAGTTTTCCTGGAATGAAGTATGTACTTTTGGAATTTTTAGAAAATAGACATGGCAAGGAATGATATGAGCCATAAACATAATAAAATTGTTAAGCTTGCTCGCTAGATCTGGTTCTCTCTAAAACATTTTACAAACCTGCTCTGTATTCCTCAAACACGTACAAACATATGCCATAATTATAATAACATATAATATACTGTATTTATTGTTCGACGGTCACTGCTCATAAATAACATCATGTTACCCTACTATCACACCAAACTAGTTCTCACTACGTTCTCAAAAACGGGCTTCAACTGTGTACGAACGGACTGGACGTACTTAGAACCGTTTGGGGTCTATTTACAAACTTCATCGAACGTACTCGAACGGGTAGGTCCTCTAGAACTTAGAACATGCTCACAATGTTCTCGTGGTCGATACGTTCTACAATTAAAACGAGTGACAATGACAACGTACTAACGACGAGCTGGACGTACTGCGAACGGAACCGCCGTACTTCAATCCTACTAGGGACGTTTTAACAACGAGTTGAACTGTCTGAGGACGTATTGAGAACGAGGTAGAACTAATTGCAAACTGGTTTAAACTGATTAAGAACGTATTTAAAGATATGCTATACAGATATGTAGGTCAGTATTACATACTCGTGAAATGAATAAGTCTGAATATATCATTGGTCAGAAAACACTAAAACCTGCTTGAAACTGTAAAAGTTTATACACTCTATTCCACACTGTATAGAAATAAAATAACTTACACTATAAGTAACTGTGAGCCAATCATTGCATAGAAAAAACTTTATGCACTGTTTATAAGATTCACTGAGACAAGTGGGTCAATACTTCGTGTACTTTATGTGCTCTCACACAATTACCTTCCCTTGCATAAAGTTGCTGTACAGTTATATGTAACTGAATATTGTATATTCATCACCAACAACCTTAGCAAAATGATGGTTCGACGAAATGGACGGTTCGCTTAAACCAATAAACCAGGCAATTCAGGCCAATTTGGAAAGAAACTAGATAGCGTGATAGCGAATGAGGATAGTAAGTGAAATATATTTTGCAACGGTCAGCTTGTAAACTACTGGGTAACCCTAAATGATGAGAAATATGTACAAAATATGTTTTGCATGATTTATTCATATCCCAATGATTTAATTCCTTCACTGCATCTAATAAGGTATATAGATACTAATTACGGGACATTTAGGAATTAAGTGACTAGACCAAAGCAAGCATGTTTGAGATTTTAATGATTTTAAATAAATTACCACTTCATTATTTGCTTTTAGACATTCAATCAGTTTTATTTGTCCAACAAACCATATTCACAATTGTTCAATCCAACGAAGATTAGGGGATACGCTAGAGAGACCCCTCCATTTGTCCGTCCATCCATCCTTCAACTAGACAACAGCAACACCAAAGTGTAGCAAATCCCATCGAACAGCCATGGCTGGCATTTTTTTACAAACAACGTATACAGCAAAAATGGCAGCCATTTTTCAAAATGGCCACCTTCTACCAAAAGTGTCATTAGACAGTGTGCCACGCTTATAGTATTCACGCATCAAATATGAACAAAATCGTGCTACTACTTTTCGAGTTATAGTAAAATACGTTAAAATGACGGCCATTTTTCAAAATGGCTGCCTTCTACTAAAAGTGTCATTAGACAGTGTGCCATGCTTATAGTATTCACATACCAAATATGAACAAAATCGCTCCACTACTTTTCGTGTTATAGTAAAATACGTTAAAATGGCCGCCTTCTACCAGAAGAGTCATTAGACAGTGTGCCATGCTTATAGTATTCATATACCAAATATGAACAAAATCGCTCGACTACTTTTCGAGTTACAGCAAAAAGTACAACATATCTTTGAAATATCATTCTGTTAAGTGAAATTGTAAAAAATATTTTGCAATGTGTGAAATTGAATTAAAGCACATGATTCAATGAATAGTGGATGCTTCAATTCACTTATGTCTTCTAGTCTAGGCTTTGAATTCGGACTACCACCCTCGTTCATAGTCTAGAATCAGGACATATGTTAAATTTAATCATCTTCAATGCATTGAGTCATTGGCTTAAATCCTATAATATAATATGCCTATCAATATAATATGTAATTATTTAAGTATCATCTCAATGCTTTAATTTTAATAGAATTATTTTAATATTTTACTAACTGTATAATATGTAGTTTGCATTACTGTTGGTAAATAAATAAATGATTGCACTGTTCAGTAAAGAAATATAGCAATTGTATTATTTAAACTGACTATACACTATAGAAATGATTTTCATTGAAAAATCAAATCAGTACCAAAATTATGGTTACCCTGTAGTAGTGAAAGGCACATTAGAAATGAATATCACCCCCTTCAATCTATTTTTACAGGTTTTTATGATTATTTCAGATTTTTCTATAGTTTGCGTAACCAGGACGGTGAATTTTCTTCATTTTTCATCAAACATTTCGTCTTACCAATATTTATTATATCTGTCAATTTTATCAAAATCGCGCCGCTACGCTTGAAAATAATTCAAATTATGTAGTTTTTCTCATTGAGCTCCATTATAAAAATGGAATTTTCAAACTTAATATTTTAAAATTCTACGTGGTGAAAAGTTGCATATTGAGTAGTTAGTTAATGTTATGGTGTTAAAAATTCAAAACAAAAAGGAATAAAGAAAAAATGCCACAGAGAAGTCTCAATAGAGTATCTTTAAGACTGCTTATGAACGAGTTTGCAAAAATATAGGTATCACACCAAACATGTTGCCACTGCGTTCTACAAAAACTGTGTGCGAACGGAATGAACAACTTTCTAAGGTCTATTTACGAACTTCATGAACGTTCTCAGACGGGAAGGTGATTTTAGAATTTTGAATCGATTCAAAATTCGATGGCGACCATACCGTTCTGTAATCAGGTCATGATGACCTTCTAGACTAAGGGACGCGTTATACGACGTTGCACACCGACGTGGTGCGACCTAAACGAACTGCAAATGTGATGGACGTATTGAAGACTGTTTATGAACGAAGTAGCTAATTATTTTAGACATATTTCCCGACCACAGCCAGATTGAGCCCGTTTTACGACGTTTTCGTAGGACTGGCAAGAACGGGTAAGAACTAGTTTGGTGTGATAGGGGGGTTACTACATAATCTCATATTACAGAAAAACAAACATTCATGTTTATTATAGAAATAAAAAGCCCATGGGTACCGGACACAAGCCCATGGGTACCGGAAACAAGTTCACATTGAACACCCTGAGACAATTGCGACGTCGGATTCCGTTGTCCAAAATGGCGGACGTATCCTCCGCATCAACTTTTTGATTGCTAATAGAAGAGTTTCTCAATAGCTTGACATCTCGCTAATTCTCGTTTTTTCATGAGATTTTGGAAAACCATTTTGGAAAAACGGAATCTGACGTTGCTGTTGTCAGGGCGTTCCGGTAAGAAGTTATAGCTAGAGACACATTTTGACGGACAAACAAGTTGGTGTTTACAATAGTTAACATCATAAATAGACAGAAACGTTACTTCTTCAATAGCCTCTCAGGTATAAAGTAACAATCCAACAATAGACTATGATCCATTGATAATTGTAACATCTTACTGTCATGGAATGCCATACATTTCAACATATTTCATACAATATGTATGCTTATACTGTATATTAAATTACACTTTCTGTATAGTTGTTAGACATTATGCCAAAGTCTAGACTATGCAAACCTCTCTAATGTATGATAACAATAGATTTTATGGTTATAATGAAAACACGCGCTACGCGCTAGCGCGCCACGCGCCAACGCACTAATAGAAAATGATCCTTCCCCCACGATGTGTGCGCATGTTTTAAGCGCATGTTTATGATTGGTCTATATCCTTGGCCCAGGGACATGTATAATTAGGCTTATGATTCCCTGGGAACTTGTCAAAACATTGACACTTCGAAAGGCTGTATAAATCACCGCTAACCTGTCAATCAGACTTTGATGTGAACTTTGCGGCCGCAGGAGATAAAGCTCTCAAAATTACACCTTTCAGGTTACGAGTTCTCTAGAAATATAAGACCAATTATAATGTTCTTCACACCGTTAAAAACAGAATTCAATTTTAATTTAGGAAATAATTCCAAAACTAAATGAACGTGTACTTTTCAGCGTATGCAATAGTTTAGCGTTAGTGCGCTAGCGCGTTAGCGCGTAGCGCGTGTTTTCATTATAACCAGATTTTATGATGATATATGTAGTATGTACTTAATCGATTTTTGGCATACGTGCCTAGAATCATATAGCATTTCTTCAATGTGTGTATTTATACTGTATCTCTCCTCCTTCTCCTTTTGCACAGAACACCCTGGCATCTTACATGGATTTCCCCAAATTTAAAATCATTTTTACGTTCAATTGCTGCCAAGGCATTTTTAAGGCAGAATCCATATGCTATACGGACCCTTTTGTTATCAACTGTATCGTCGTTCATTGCAAAGAGCATTCCTACTACACAGCCTCCAGACAAAATCACAGACCCACTATCACCTTTATCGAAAAATTGTTTCTCCGATTCCACTCCAATGGTGTCACCGTTTATGTCGATACCTATGACTTTTATTATATCTCTGAAAAGGAACTCTGATAATTTATTACCGTTGTGGTCTTCATAATCGATCACTTTGCATATCGATTCTGCGATGATCTTACCTCGAGTCTCACCTGTGCGACTACCTACTTTAGTGACAATAATGTTTTCAACTGGGCTAGCTAATTTACAGTCACACGTTTTGTCATAATTAGCAAGGGTTTTCATGAGACTGTCCGAGCTTTCGATTAGAGCGATGTCATATTTACCTTTCCCGATTTTATCATCAGTTATGTCGATGTAGTATGCTAGCCTGCCCAAAATGGAAGGGTCTAGGTGTTGGACTAAAACGTATTCATTTTTATTAACGGACGACACAACATGTTGATTGGTAATGGCATAGTATTTGTCTTTGTCAGGCCAGCGCGAACGGTTTCTGGTTTTGATAAAGCATCCCAATGTCCCCTCCTTGTTTCTCTCATTGTGTATTGTGAAGTGAGCCAGACGTTTACCCGTCAAACGACAAGCTTGAAGATTTGATTCATAATTCACCTCAAAGTCAAATAAATACTTTTCCTCAAGTCGTCCCCTGATCTTTTGTTTGTCCTTTTCTTGGATGTTTTCTTTGTGTTTTATTTTTAATCTTGATTCATTTTTCGATATTGAAAACTCTCTTCCAAATGATACAACGCCAGGAATACTGAAAAACAAACAACTAATTATAAGTAACAATGTCAAATAATACTCCTTAATTTAGTAAACGAGGGTCAAAAGAATGACACTTTTTGCCCGAGTTCGAATATGCCACAAGGGAATGAATGAGCTGCTTAGCATTATTAAAAAGAAATCTGAACGATCGTTTTTCGTTATCCTTTTCATTTTCACATTTACATGAAGTTTTCTAACATCCGGGATAGTCTTTTGTTCATTTATTATTTTTATTACAAAAAAACATTTTGAAAAATGATAGTCCGAGAAACAATGTTTCTTCGGAATGAATAAATATATGAATACTGATTAAATAAATACATAAATAAATACTAAGTTAAATAAATATGAAATATAGTTATAAGTACCCAATTAAAAATTCACAGTCCTCATCTGCAAACACATCTGTAACCTTCATTGAGTTTGATGCCGTAATCGTCTCATTTAATTGATTTCTTTCGGTATATGTATGAGCATCATGTCGAGAACTTTCATCCCAAATACCAGACTTTCCATAACTACCTGTAAGCCAAGAATAAAGGAAACTGCACAACTTTCGAGATAATAGCCATGTGATTTGGAACGATTCCATAAACAGTAAAACCTGTCTAATCCGAACGCCATTGGGACCGGATAAAAGCGTTCAGATTAGGAGGTGTTCACATTTCGAGGTTTTTGCATCCGCAATTATCCAGATTCTGAAGAAATGTGAACACATTCTCGGTAAATATGTATAGTTCTTCTGACCACATAGCTTTATGGCATTCCAGAAATTTGATTCAAATGAATCTAATCATGCTGGAAAGCCCCATTATGAATAAGACCATTCAAGATTATTTCCCAAAGTTTTGATATCATGACCAAATTTGAGCAATTTTGTATAAAACATCAGGAATTTTATGAAAAATGTTCAGGTTAGACAGGTGAATATTTCAAATATGACTGTTCACTGTTCAAATTGGGAGGTGTTCACATTTCAAGTTTTTTTTAACATGGGAGTCAATGGGAGGAAAAATGGGACCGAAAAAGTGTTCAGATTGGGAGGTGTTCGGATTAGCCAGGTGTTCAGATATACAGGTTCTACTGTAGAGTATTTTATGCATCTACATATCTGATTATCTAAAACAACGCCTCCAAAAGAAAGCATTCGTGGGTTGCTCCGAGGTTCGCAGTGATGGTATAGTGAGTTAATATACGATGATGAACAAATGGGGCAAATGTTGTGAATATTAATAAATACTCACGATAAATGTGTCATTATGAGGATTGTTCTTTCAATTGCTCGCATGTTCGCTCATGCTGTACCTTTTGTTTCAGTTAAGGGTGGTCAAAAATGAAAACTCTGCTGCTATTTTACACATGACAATTTTGGAATTTATTCCCTGATATTTGGTACATTTGAAAAATCATTTAATTTCCTATCAGCTGACTATATTTTAAAACCATCAGACTGAATCAGTCGCAATATTACAGCACTTTAAACAATATACTCCAGTGGCTAATATCGCGCTTTAGGTAAACCTGCACAAGTCGTCCAAAATGTCCCTTCTTGACTTCTACCTGTTGGTATATGCCAAAGATAGCGTGCTCGAGAATGACCCAAGGATAATTGCAAACCTTAAACTTTTGTCATTCAGACCATTCCTGCTGAGGAATGCAGTCGGGTCACTGACAACTTTGGACGATGTGTGCAGATTTACCAACAGTGCGATGTTGGCCACACCTGGGGCATGTTGTCCAAAGTGCCATAACACTGTTATTATAAGTCTAATGTACATGAATTATGGTAGGCTGGTAGAAAATTGAATGATGTACACATGTGGTAAATAGCAATGAGCTTTTATGAATGATAAAGATATGCAAAAATGCATGGTTTCCGTTTTTGACCACCCTCTATTTTTTAAAGAATGATTATTTATTAAGATAAGCCTACGAAAAATGAATGTGATTGAAGGTCAATAAAAGGTGAAATCTCAAATGTAACGTCAGATTTGAACCCCTTAGATCTTTTAGATGGTTTAAAAAAGTTGAAATTTAAAATGGCCTATTTATCAGGAAATCAAACTGGCCGCCATCGAGTTTAGCCAGAATACCCAAAACCTAATCAGATCTTGACTTAAGTCTGGTCTTGCATATGTAAACATTTTAAGATCAACTGATGAGGGGTTTACCTGGAATTCTGATGATTTGTAGAAAACTGAAAATAGCCACCAAGTAATTTCCCTAATTCAATAATTTATGCCCTGGCATACTCGTTAAATAGAAATGATGAGAAAATTTAGTGACCTACTGTAACTGAATTTTTCTCGTTTTTTATACATTTTATAAAAAAAGAAAAATGTAGACAATGTGAGAAAGGAGAGATTCATATTTGAAAAATAACATGTTGACTCTGTTGAGGATTGCATCAAAATTTCGAAGATATAGAACAAACTTAATTTGGAAGAATACGGGAAATTTTGTTAAAAACATGTTATTGGCTCACAGAAATGAATCCTGTGGTTTACACTAAGGTACTATACACCGGATGTTTAATGGAATATTGATTGTGCTTTTCGTTAAATACTACACAACAGCAACGCCAAAGCAAATCCCGTCGAACAGCCATGGCTGGCATTTTTACAAACGAAGTATTTAGCAAAATTGTAAAATATCAAATAATAAATGCCCACCACTTTCAAAATGGTTGCTCACTGGCGAAACTGTCATCAGAAAGTGTAATGTGCTTCTAAGTAGGCACATATAAAATGTTAACAAAATCGCACACACGTACATGTAAATGGCGGCCATTTTTCAAAATGGCCGCCTACTTGCCAAAATGCCATAAGACGCTGTGCCATGCTTATGAATATTCAAATCGCTCTATTACTTTTTGAGTTATAGCAAAAAAAAGTAAAATAACACTCGTAAAAATGGTGGCCATTTTTCAAAAATGGCCGCCTACTCCCCAAAGTGCCATTATACTCTGTGCCATCCTTATAGTATTCACATATCAAATATGAACAAAATCGCTCCACTACCTTTCAAGTTATAGTAAAAAACGTAAAATGGCGGCCATTTTGAATGGCCACCTACTACCCAAAGTGTCATTAGACAGCGTGGCATGCTTATGAGTATTCACATATCAAATATGAACAAACTCGCTCTATTATTTTTGGAGTTATAGTAGAAAACGTAAAAATGGCGGTCATTTTCAAAATGGCCGCCTACTACCAAAATTGTCATTAGACAGTGTGCCATGCTTATAGTATTCACATGTACCAAATATGAACAAATCGCTCGACTACTTTTCGAGTCATAGCAAAAACCGCAAAATAGCGTGAATAGGCCGCCATTTTTCAAGATGGCTGCCATGTGCTTCTTTAATATCTACATTTCTATCTTTATTAATGTCCTATATAATTTTTTACATTTAAAACTTATTACTATTACAGTTTCACATATTGTACCTAAATTACTGTAAAATGGGCACTAAATTGGCCGCCATTTTGAAAGGAGTGGCCATTTTGAAAATCGGCTTTTGAGCAGAAAGGCGTTTCCTTTATCCCTCCGAACTTCGTTCGATGCGATAAGATAAGTGTGTGAGTTATTTATGCAATCTTCATTAGTCTACATCTTCATTTTAGCACAAAGAGTGCACGAATATAGCCTACCTAGAAGAAAACAGAGAATAATGGTTTTATAAAATGTTTCAAATGAGAAAATTCAGCGACCTACCTTTTAAGGCCAGGGTGCATGTTCAGAATTTTGCTGCATTCCTCAATTGAGTTTTTTTTAATTTTTTTATAGTATAAACTTTATTGAAGTAAAGTCAATACATTTTCGGCCACCAATCGCCATATTGGCATTATAGGTTGGCCATCACTTACATCGTAAAAAATTAAGTATAGTATTTAGCTGTTTGAGGACGACTGTGCATCGAATGGTATCCCAGGGAACAGAGGGGTTTGTGCCAAGTAGATGTGTAGAAAACAAGATAAATACATTATGAGTTCTCCAGGGCTTAGATGAGACCTCTTTGCTATGTCTTATTGTCATGGAGAAAATTGCTGACGATGATAAAAAGTTTACTTAGTTCTGCTAAGGATAATGTCTCGTCACCATATAAGAGAAAATTAAGTTTATCATCCATGTTTGTTAGTTGACTGATCTTATTATAAAAATTATTGTTGACCTCTTCCATCAGGGCATGCCTATTAATTTGGCATAGAGGACACTTGAAAAATAAATGTTTTAGTGTTTCAGGTTTGCCGCAAGAACAATGAGCCGAGTCTATAAAAGTAAATTGGTGTGCAAAAAGTCTTGCTTTCAAAAATAAGTCAACACGAGCTCTGTTGAGAGTGATTTCTTGAGACCTTGTTAAATTAATCAGGGACGTTGAACTGATTATTCTCTTGGGCAGATAGTGTTTATTACTTTCTTTTTTGAACGCTGGTAGGGAAAATTTTAAGGCATATTCTAAAAGAGGTTTTGGTAATTTGTTCCACAGTGATATTGCATTAGGAATAGGGGATTTAATAAATTGGGCAGTTGACCTTATAGGAATTTGGTATACCTCTGTATTGCTTGTTCTTCTGGTAGCTGGATTTTTGAATTCTTCAAATATTGAAGATACATAGGAGGGTACCTGGTTTCTGATTACTTTGTACATGAAGTTAAGAATGTGTTGTTCCCTCCTTTGGGATATAGTGTGCACCAGTTTAAGACCCCCATAACTTTACCTGTATCAGAGCCATGGAGACACCCAGAACACAATAATGCAACCTGATAATGTAACTTGCTAGGGATATTGATCAGTACTTGAGTTGATGAATGATAAAGAATGTCTGCGTAGTCAAAATGAGGCCTTATGAATGAGTTGTACATTGTCTCCAAATGTTTCGAGTTAATTTTTGATGTAAGTGCCTTCAATGGATTAAGCAGTTTTTGTACTCTCTTGACAATGTCATATATATGATTTTTGTTAGAAAGAAGATAATCAAAAGTATACCCTAGATGCTTATGAAGATTATTCCTTTTAATTTCCCCATTTCCAAGTTTGGCTAAAGGTGGCGGAGTAGGAAATACACAGCGCTGGCTTTGAAAGATAACTTCCTCTGTTTTTTCAGGCTTGAAATCTAGTTTCCATTTTTGAGACCAGTTAGTTATGATATTAAGATCATGATTGATAGTATGCATGTCAGGATCAGATGGATCAAAGGGGTAATATAGTGATGTGTCATCAGCGTAGATAAATGCCTTTCCCAAAAGATCATCGGGTAAGTCATTTATATAAATCAAAAATAAAATTGGACCTAGGATAGATCCCTGAGGGACGCCGCAGTTGATATAGTTTGCAGAAGAAGTATCCGATGATTGACCACCTACATTTACGTTGACTTTACGATTTGACAAATATGATCGGAGAATTTGATAAAATTGGCCTTCAATGCCATATGCTTTCAGTTTTACAAGCATCAGCTTATGAGGAACACGATCAAAAGCAGAGCTAATGTCTAATTATATTGCACGTACGGCTTTATGATCTTTGATATTTGAATGAAGAAAGTGATTTATTGCAAGTAGCTGGAATTCAGTGTTATGCCCTTCAAGAAACCCAGATCGGAATTCAAATATTAAACTAGTAGCTTTAAGGTGGGCATTTAGTCTTGTTGCCACAACACGTTCAAAGACCTTTGATAAAATATTTAGAAGAGTAATGGGTCGATAATTCCCAATGTCAGTTTTATCGCCTTTATTTTTAAATATAGGGCAGATACTGCCCATTTTCCATATGTCGGGGAAGGTTTCATGGAGAATAAGTTTGTTAATGAGCTTAGAAAGTGGTAGAGATATAGAATGAGCAGTCAATTGTAACATTTTAATTGTGATCTCATCAGGGCCACAAGCTTTATTTGGATCAAGTTTGAGAATTATTTTCATAACCTCTTCTTGGGAGGTTCTAAGGTTATCAATTTTATTATGACAGCGTTGAGGTAGGGTAGTATCCAAAAACGAGTTATCTGAATGGTATTTACTTGAAAAATGTTCTAAAAAAGCATTTGCCTTATCTTTACAGCTAGATGAAGTTTTACCTTTGTGCTGGTCATAGAGGGTGGGAATGGTGGTTTGAGAGGAGTTTATACCTAATAATTTCTTGGTTATAGACCAATATTGTTTTGAGTTTTTGGAGAGTTCAGTAATGAATTCTTTACATTTGGTTTCATATTCACTCTTAGCAAGCTGTATCTGTTCATTTAAGATTCTAGTCTGGGTAGTATATTTTTCAAAATTTTCAGGAGTATTATTATTTTTCAACTGGGTAAAGAATTTTTTCTTTTTGTTAATTTCGTGCTTTATTTTGTCCGTAAACCATGGTTGGGAGTTGGCCTTAACAGTTATTGTTTTATGAGGGATAAAGGTCGAATATATTGTCTTGAGGGCATAGTTAAAGTATTTGAATCAATGTCATTTTCTAAAATTCCATTCCAGTTTTGTTCTCTAACTGCGTTATTTATTGCTTTAAGGTTAACCTGGTCATATTTCCAAACAGTTCGTTTAATAGCTGGTTCCTTGGGAATTTTAACATTAAGTTTAACAATTATGGTGCAATGGTCAGAGCCACCAATTGGAGAGTCAACTACAGCTGCAGACACAGCTAGGGGAGTATTTGTAAGAACATGATCTATGCAAGTTTTAGAGTTATCTTTTATGCGTGTTGGTTGGTCAATTAGCTGCAAATAGTTGAAATCTTGAGTGACATTAAAAAGAAGGTCACCGGCCAGATTATCTATTGATGTACCTTCGGCATACCAGATACTATTCTTAGCATTAGTATCGGCAGTAATCAAAACACTATCGAATGACTGGTTCTCAATTTTATTAAGGGCCTGTCTAAGTTTATTGAAGAAGATTCTCGTTTCATCTGCGCTTTGGCTAGGAGAACGATGACCAACTCCATATAAAATTTTCTTGTGATTTACTACAATTTCCACAAAAGCAATGTCTAGGCCATCAACTTCAATATCACTCCTGTCAGAAAATCTCAAAGTGTGTGTGCTGTGCTAATGCCTGGGTCACATTTGCTCCGATCCATCGGCCAGCGCCCGGCCGATTGAGTATTTTGTTCAATATTGAGTCACATGTTATTTTTCAAACAGGAATCACTCCTTCCCACATTGTCTACATCTTCCAGTTTTGCACAAAGAGTGCACTTATGTGCCTAGAAAGGACTGGTGAGAAGAATTGTTTTGTAAAATGTATAAAAAACGAGAAAATTCAGTCAAAAAAAATTCTGAATTTTTTCACTGAATTTTCTTGTTTTTTGTACATTTTATCAAAACTTCTTATTTACATTATTTTCTAGGTACATTAGTGCACTCGTTGTGCAAAAGTCAGAGATGTAGAATGAGAAGGAGTGATTCCTGTTTGAAAAATAACATGTGACCCTATTGAGTGTTGCAGCAAAATTCCGAACATGCACCCTGACCTTAACGTACAAAATAAGCAGGTCTCTGATTTTTCTATTTGTTTCTACATCTTATGAAAGTATATTCTCTAGACTCTTCTTGGTATATTAGTGCACTCTAAGTGCAAAACTGTAAGATGTAGACCGAATATGGAATGAGTTATCTGTTCCTGAAATAAAATGTCACTCCAATGAGGATGGCATAAAAATCCAAACATGCACACTTTCCATTAATGTGATAGTTTAAAAGCCTTGGAATCAAAGCGATCCATTGATATTACATCACAGTTATCTTTGGTCAAGGCATGGTGTATATACTAGATACAGTACATATATAAATGGGTTTCACTAGTAATATACCATATGCATCATCGATGATGAACCAGATACAGAAAACCTGTTCAAAGTAAATGTTATATCAGGACAGTAAGAAATTATCATATAAAGAAGTATTCAGAAAATCGTAGGTGATCACATTTGACAATGTTAACCGCAAGCGGGTTTAACTGTACTCAAACTGCATAATACATTCAACTTAACCTATTCAGAATTGTTTGAGAGCTGCAGGGGATATGCTCCATTGATTGAACAGGGTATTAGCCAAAGTAAAAGAATACAAAATGCATTTCCCATTGCATCCCCCTATTATGTTGGATTATCATAATTTTTTATCGTTATACACTGGACTTTCATATGCATTTATTTTTTACAGCATAAAACTACTCGCAAAAGTTGTTAACTGTCAAAAATATGTTGCACTAACTTCCGTGACTCTCCTTCCTTTTGGAAATCGGCTATGTTTGTAAATTAAATGAGGTGAATTTCTTTTTTTCACGACACCCCATATATACATTATCATGACAACACTATTGCATCAATTACACTCAAATCTTAACAACGGAAATGTTTCAGCTATATACATATCAGGTTTTCAAGGGATTACATCAAAGATAGGAACATGAGATTAAAAAGAAAAGGGTGATTTTTGGACAAACTTGTAAATCGTATATACAAAGTAGATACATCACTCACTCCATTCGTGCAGGCACAACCTCGAATAGCTATTAGTTGCACAATCGATAGCTGTGCAACCATCATAGTCCTTGATGTCATCATCAGCATTGTGATCAAGAAGAATCTCCAAACACTCTGTGCTGCCAACGACTGCAGAATGGTGCAAGGCTGTCCGTCCATCCACATCTTTAATGTTAACATCCGCCTGGTTATCAAGGAGAATCTTTAAACAATCCATGCTGCCAACTAGCGCAGCGTGATGTAGACCCGTCTTTCCACTTTTATCTCTTATGTCAACTTCAGGTTTGTGTTTCAACAAAAGTCGCAAACATTCCCTGCTACCAGAACTTGCAGCACAATGCAATGGAGTCATGTTTTCATTGTCCATCACGTTAATGTTGATGTCAGGCATTTGTTTCAGTAAAAGTTTGACGCTGTCATCATCATCGTTATTTGCTGCGTAATGCAAAGGATTTTTACCAACTTCATCTTGAAAGTTAATGTCAGCTTTGTGGTGAATAAGTTGTTTTATCGCGGCTGTATTATTGTTCATGGCAGCATATATTAACGGGGTACAACCGAACGCATCCTCAATGTTTGGATCAGAGTGATTAGTGAGTAAGACAGTTGTGCACGTTTCTTTTAAAGTCTCATTGACACCTTTTTCTGACTCATCATTTAGAACTGCGTGGTGTAACGCTGATTTTCCTTCTTCATCAGTTATGTCGATATCTAATTCCATTTTTTCTAGAATAAGTTTCATGGCATATGTGTTATTCCTGATTACAGCATGAGAAAGCATTGTGTATCCACGTTCATCTTTAATGTTCGGATTGGCGCCATTTTCAAGAAGAACCTGCACTTGTTTGTTATGCCCTGCAATCAATGCCTTCCACAAAGGTGTCATATGACTTTGGCTTTTTGTAAGATTAACATCAGCCTTATATTTTATGAGCAAATCGAAAAACTTGTCATTTTTTTCGTCAATCGCCCACTGTAAAGGCGAACCGCTACCACGTGCATTAACATCATATCCATTGTCCAAAAGAAATTCTGCCATATTCCAATCATTTTTGCTCATAACCTTGATAAGGATATTTTCACCACACAATTCAGTTTCATTAAACTTGACATTGCTTGGTTTCGTTCGAGTCAGTTTCTCCAATATATCAGTTTCACCCCCAGAGAGTGCTTTGAAGAAATCATGCTTCCATAATTCTACAATAAATAATGGTATAGACAATTTATATTTCATATTTAACATATGCCGGACAACAAAACTTCTTTTTAGAGGGACCAGATCAGTGACTAAATGTCACTAACCAATATCATCAAAGAAATATCATATAAGTGCTAAGAAAAAAGGTTCCCAGATTAATAGGAAAGTCAATATTACAATTCCAGAACGTAACAATTCACAAAGCACAGAAAACAAATCTTATAATTGAATACTTTGACATTAACCTTTTTGTACAATGGCCTATATTCCCCTGATAAAGTCCCATAAGACTTCTACATTAATGAATATCTTAAAGCAATATTTATTAGAAGTTCAACATAAAAATGAGACTCTGCTTGAAGGTTATCATCAATCTGAGAGATGGACGCAGCAGTTTTGTCAGGTCTTTGAATCTCCTGTCAAGATGCACCATGAATGTTTAGATAATGGTGGGAAATGCATAATACTGGATAACAATATGTGTCAAATGACCAAATAATATAACAGAACTAAATCAGCACTGTACATTATTAAGTCATTAGTACTTCTAATCCTTATGCTGCATGGTACATCATGTCCCAGGTCGTTCAATAAGTACACGGAAAAATGCTCTCATTTCCCAAATTCTTGATATTTTCCCATATTTTCACACAATGTATAAAAATACTTTCTGATTGGTTCTTAAAATATCAGCATCTCTAATTTGATTGGTCAAAAATAAGGGTTGCTATGGGCACTTTTTACGCCACACAATTTACCATTACAGAAATCTATCAATATGATCAAATGAAGGATTTCTATTTTTTATTTGTTCTTATTTAAATTACAAATATTCTGAGGGAAAATTGATGTTGTTCTCATGAACATTTCTGAAATCCTGCTAGTCAATGCTGTACCAGTACTGGGTCAGAAAATCAACAAAGAGTAATGCTATGGTAAGTTGAATTAAAGTCAACAATTCAGCCAAAATATTTCCATCAGGACAATGCAGCCGATCACAATTCTAATATTGTGCAGGAAACCATCACAAATAACTGGCAAAATAGAAGGCCAAATTACATACTCTCCAGATGAGACAATCCCTGACTTTGCTGTTTTCACTAGGATGAAGGATCAGCTAAGAGGTGCACTCCATGGAACAATGAAACAACTTTCGACTGCAGTCCAGATGGCTTCAGAGCACAGTATCATCAATGGGTTGAATGCAAGCGATTGTGTATTAAACACGATGGAGAATATTTCTAAAACCTTATGGGACAGTAGTTGTGACTATTACATAAAGAAATATCATGTACAAGTAGAAACGGAGAAGAAATTCATGTAATGGAATGAAAATCAAGCTGAAAACCTGATTTTCCGCAAAAAAGTGTCGACCAAATTTGAATCTTTGCGATTATTTTGCCGAAACTTGTAGATTTTATTGATACTATATAGATTAAGGTACCTGTACAATTTCAAGATAACTGGTGGAAAATTGTTCAGTTATGACCAAACAATAGCTAAAAACTTGATTTTCCGCAATAAAAATGGACGTCATTTTGAAACGAGGCGAGCTTTTGAGACGGCAATTGTGGGACAATTATAAACACCTTTACTTAAACACATTTTAAAAGTGGAACCATGTGAATTGTCGTGGAGGATTACAAATGAAAGAGCACAGAGATCTGAATACATTTTTCGCAGTAAAAATGACCGACATTTTGAAATGAGGCGAGCTTTTAAGACGCTACTTGTGAGACACAAAAGACTGTTATGTACACTTTTTAAAAATGGAACTATTTCAATTGCCGTGAAGGATTTCGAGCTAGCTACAAATGTGTTGAGAGAGAGAGAGAGAGAGAGAGAGAGAGAGAGAGAGAGAGAGAGAGAGAGAGAGAGAGAGAGAGAGAGAGAGAGAGAGAGAGAGAGAGAGAGAGAGAGAGAGAGAGAGAGAGAGAGAGAGAGAGAGAGAGAGAGAGAGAGAGAGAGAGAGAGAGAGAGAGAGAGAGAGAGAGAGAGAGAGAGAGAGAGAGAGAGAGAGAGAGAGAGAGAGAGAGAGAGAGAGAGAGAGAGAGAGAGAGAGAGAGAGAGAGAGAGAGAGAGAGAGAGAGAGAGAGAGAGAGAGAGAGAGAGAGAGAGAGAGAGAGAGAGAGAGAGAGAGAGAGAGAGAGAGAGAGAGAGAGAGAGAGAGAGAGAGAGAGAGAGAGAGAGAGAGAGAGAGAGAGAGAGAGAGAGAGAGAGAGAGAGAGAGAGAGAGAGAGAGAGAGAGAGAGAGAGAGAGAGAGAGAGAGAGAGAGAGAGAGAGAGAGAGAGAGAGAGAGAGAGAGAGAGAGAGAGAGAGAGAGAGAGAGAGAGAGAGAGAGAGAGAGAGAGAGAGAGAGAGAGAGAGAGAGAGAGAGAGAGAGAGAGAGAGAGAGAGAGAGAGAGAGAGAGAGAGAGAGAGAGAGAGAGAGAGAGAGAGAGAGAGAGAGAGAGAGAGAGAGACAGGCGGCAAGACAAGAGGGCGATAACGAAAAGTTCACCCATGTAAGCTAATAAAGATAATCCTTCTCAAACTAGTGGAGGGTTCCGGTGTCTCACACATTTGGGAATATTCTCTGTGATAAAGCAATCTTGCTTGTTCTGGTGATTTTGCTCATTCAGATATTTGGTCCTAACTGCTAGAAGGCCCAAGGTTATTGATGGACACTAATGAATTAAGAACCCTCTAAGTAAATACACCTCGTAATCTAACAAAATACCTTTTTTCACTATTGTTTCACTAAATTACTGGTACAATTGATCATAAACAAAGGACCATATGCACTCTCCATTGGGATCTCCCCATGAGAAAAAAATAATTCATCAGATTTTTCAAAATGAGTATTCTGCTTTAATTATTACATGTATATGTACACTAGTATCTTGTTGACCTACATTCAGCACTGTATTGATGTATAGGCCACTTATTAGGGTCATAATTCAATCATGAAGTGTAGAGGCATAGATTCCAAACCAGGAAGTATTTTTGTGTCTGTCAAAATCCATTTGCACCCTAAGCATCCCTACATCTTATCCAAATATGTTACTGCATAATGAAATATAATAGTATATTCTTTGGTTTTACAAAGTTGTATGATTTTTGATAAGTGTACATGGTTGTTTTTTGAGCATTTTTCTATAGCCATTTTGTAGGAAAAAATGATGAAAAAATGCACAATCTTTTAATTTTAAGTATGACCTGAATCGATTGCAAACTTCATATTTGCACATTTGATGAGATAAACCATTTGTGTCATATTGTGAATTTATTAAGTTTGTAATCGATTCAGGTCATAGTGTATTTTTGGTATTTTTGTGATAAGCAATGGAAACCAATGGCCTCTATTGGGATCTGCTGATATCCTCATTTTAAGTCAATGATGCGCAGCCCCATGTAAGTCAATACAACCTTACTGAACTAAATGGCCCCTATCTCAGCATATGTGTGCCCGAGCACTTTAATATTTTCCAAAGAGTTATATGACATTATGTTCTTCGCGTTACATCTAAAAATTATTCATTTCGACCATATAGTAGGGGTATTTGCCAATAAACACACCTCTTCCTTTGTGCAAGACCACCCTGACTTTATGTGTAGCGAATAGAATTAAAATCGAGCCTAAAGAAAAGAAAAAGAAGAGATACGATAATTGGCATATTTTTCCATGCTCAAAATGAATCATTCTTAGGTGTGACATGAAGAATAGAATGTCACATAGTTCTTTGGAAAATAGTAAAGTGCTCGGGCACACATAGTAGCTTATAGGCTGAGATAGGGGTCATTTAGTTCAGTAAGGTTGTATTGACTTACACGGGTCTGTGCATCATTGACTTAACATAAGGATATCAGCATATCCCAATAGAGGCCATTGGTTTCTATTGATTATCACAAAAACACTAAAAATACACTATGACCTGAATCGATTGCAAACCTAATAATTTCACAATATGACACAAATGGTTTTTCTCATCAAATGTGGAAATATGAAGTTTGCAATCGATTCAGGTCATACTACAAATTAAAAGATTGTACATTTTTTCATCATTTTTCCCTACAAAATGGCCATAGAAAACTTTCACATATACAATACGTCTTTTACTATCCTTAAATTGAGGGAGTTGTGAAATACGCTGACTGAATCAGCCAATCAAATCACACACTTTCTAGCAATGATATAATAAATGATTTATCAACGATAACGATTTGATTTTTATCAACGAATGGATATGATATCTGCACGAGCGAGCATGAAGTAGCAAAAATCCATTATTCATAGCATACGGTGCCGTATGTCATGGCTAAAACTCCGTATGTTATGGTTAAATGAAAATTTGTCAAAAATATCATATTTTACCACTGATTACAAAAATACCGTTTTTATTTTGACATGTTATCCTATGAATATCATGCTATCTATGGAATAATTGCGTTTAACCTTTCACAAAATTTATTGCATGATAAATATTTCTACTTTTCATTTTCATGGAATTTGCATGTGGATTGCATCGATTTAGTGTATGTGTTTTCAGTTCAATTCCTTATATCTCTCCATCCATTGCATGTACTCGCATGGACTTTTTCGAATTGCGTGGACTTTGCATGTGCTCTGCATGGAAAAAATCCATGGGCTCTTGCTAGGGGAAATCTTCTTAAATTAGACCATTTGTATCTTTTCTGGACACCCTGTAAGTAGGTTCATGTAAAATTTCAACAAAATTGTTCCACTAGTCTACTTTTGGAGTTATAGTAAAAAACGTAAAATAATACATGTAAAAATAGCGGCCGTTTTTCAACATAGCCGCCTACTAGCCAAGAGTGTACCATACTAATGGCCGCCTACTATTCAAAGTGTCATAAGACAATGCACTATGCTTATGAGTATTCACATTTCAAATGTGAAAAAATCAACTTTCAAAGCGACAAAAAAAGAAAATAGCGTGTAATGGCCGCCGTTTTTTCAAGATGGCCACCATGTTTTTTTATATTTAGATTTTTCAACCTAATTAATATCCTTTATAATATTTTGGCATTTAAAACATATCGATATAACAGTTTAATATCTTGTAGTACCTAAAATATTGCAAAATAGACACTAAATGGCGGCCATTTCGAAACTGGTGGCCATTTTGAAAATTGGCTTGCGTGCAGAACTTGTACTCCTTTGGGCACAGACGTAATACATTTAAGAGATATTAGTCCACGGGTGTTTGAATTATTTCCCAGGGGACGGAAAAACATACGAACGGATTAAAACAGTTATAAATGAAGATCAATGTGCATATGTGGTTGGAGACAATTAGGGAAAAAAGAAAATTGACTTTTTAAAAGAGCTTTAAATTATCTTTTCTAAGGTCTGAATATTTATTTTGAAATTTTTTGAGTAGAAAACAAAGATCTGTTTTAGCTAAATTTCGATCTGGCACTTTACCTTTAGAGATTGAAACGGGTAGGTGGCAGAATATACCAAGTCAAGAGAGATATTGTAGGCAATGTAAGAATGAAATAGGTGATGAGTTTCATTTTTTATTCAAGTGTAAAGTTAATCATAAATTAAGAGAGGAAATGTTTTGTAAAGTAAAAGGTATATATGATCTATTTGAGTCTTGTGATGATGAAAAGAAAACAATGTACTTATTGAATTCTAAATCACTCTGTAAATATGTTTCAAATTTTTTGCTTTTGTCTTTGGAGGCTAAAGATAGATTAAAGTAAGTGTTAATTCTGACTTATCTGCTTATAATATGATTGTAATTGTGTCTCATAAGCCTTTGGAGGCTGGCCGTATAATTACGGGTGACACTGTAATAAATAAATAAATAAATATACCAAATAGAAGGTATGTTGCTACGCTGTATGGATGATTTAATAGAGTATACAAATGATTATAATATAGATGGCATCATGATAGGTGTGGATTTTATTAAAGCGTATGATAACGTTTCTATAGAGTATATTTTAGATGTTTTTAACCTTTTGGCTTTGGAAATTCCTTTATAAACTGGATCAAAGTTCTGAATACTGAGAGGAAAAGTTGTGTTTCAAACAATGGATTTTTATCAGATTGGTTTCAGCTAAATTTTACAAGGTTGCCCGATTGCCCATTTGTGCTATGTACTGGCTTCTGAGGTCTTAGCCTTGCGTTGCAGTCAAGATTTAGAGATAAAAGTAATAAAAATGCAAGTAATAAGACTTATAAGATTTATTTTTTAACTCATATGTTTCGTTATACCATACAAAATTACTTACTCCATGCAATGGATATATCATTTGCGGGTAACTTTCACTTCTGTTTGAAGTCCAATTACGCTGGGAAGAAAAGCTATTGAAAATGGCGCCGGAGTATCATACTTCAAAATGTACCATTTCTTGTTTAACTTTCTAATGGCACGATATAGTGACACGATAATATTTACACATGGTTTCAGCATAACTATGAAGGTATAAATGAGATGTTGATGTATTTGGTCTTTTCAATTCTTTTATAAAAAATAATGTTTAATTTTTGTGCCCGCTGTGACGGAGCAGTTGCAAATGGTGGACAAAAAATATTAGTATTATTTTTTATAAAAACATTAAAATGACCCAATGCATAAATATCGCATTAATACATTCAGACTTATGGTGAAAACATATGTTAATATTATCGTGTCACTATATCATGCCATTAAAAAGTTAAAAAAGAAATACATTTTAGAGTTTGATACTCTGGCGCCGTTTTCAATAGATTTTACTCCTAGCGTTATTGGACTTCAAACAGAAGTGAAGGTTACACGCAAATGATATATCCATTGCATGGAGTAAGTAATTATCTTTGATATAACGAAACATATGAGTTAAAAAATAAATCGTGAAGCATTCTTAGTGATTTATGAAAAATAGCATGCTCCGTCACAGCGGACAAATCTTTCGATACCAGCCTGTGATATGTGGATTAAAAAATTTAAAAATTTAAAAATTTTCCCCATTTAGACAGTAATATTCCATTAAACCCAGTATATAATGTATCCCAGCTTATTAGATATGGCAGGGCATGCTCGAAATATTTAGATTTTAAGTCAAGACACAATACTTTAGTGATCAAACTGTTAGGTCAAGGTTATACTTGTATAAAGCTTGAGAAATACTTTCTGGGCTTTGCTGAAAAATACAAATTTCGAAGTTTCAAGTTTTACCACTTGAGATGCTGAAGGATGTAGGAATTGTTTAAGACATTGGCGCTGAACTCACAATATTTTCACTTGGCACCTTTTGAGATTGATCCCGGCTATGGCATTTATGGTTGAGAAATAGGGATCGAAACCAGCCATAGTTTTCTCCTGATGACCATCGTGAATTATTGTGTTTTATGGATTATGGCGACGGTTTTTGTGAATGGATGTTGGCCCTTTGAAACGCCTATGAACTTGGAGACTGGATTTTATCTATCCCACATCATTTGAGACTGAATGCTCTATCTTGTATGAGTACTTGTATTTCCAACTATTTTTGATGTTATGAGTATTGGCTATCAATTTCTAATTTCTCTTCAACATGTATTGTAATGACTTCTGTATGAATGAAATGTCCCTTGGTGTTCTGGTCCTGGATTGTGATATTGGTTCTTGAATGGTGGGGGAAAGGGGGTATTAGACATTGTTTCTTTTCACGTTAGATCATGGTTTTGGGCTATATGGGGTCTGTTTTTCTTGACTGGTATGCACTTAGAGTTTGCTTTTTCTTGCTAAGTTCCATTACATGTTTTCGTATTTTCCCTTTGGCACTTGTGCTTATATATTAAATACAATTGGCATTTTAAAATTAGCCTCAAAATGTATAAGATCCAAAATAGTGGATCAACTAAATATAGAAAGGAATATTTTTGTTAATAAAGCAAAGTGGCTCGTTGCAAAGCAAGTATCAAAAAATACTCAACTCATGCAATGGAAAATTTTACAGGGTATATACCCCACAAATGTTATTTTAAAGAAGTACAAAATTAATGAATCAGACATTTGTGACTTGTGATAACATAGATAATACGACACATCATTTTTTTAATTGTACACGAACGAAAGCATTTTGGGAAAAAGTAGAGTACAAACTCAATGTAAAAGATGTAGTTTATGGGGTCGAAAATAATAATGATTTGAATTTAAAAATCCTTCTACGTGTATAGGTAAAAGGGCAATTGTAATAGCAAATTTTTCAAAAGTAGATATTTTCAGTGTATGAATCACTTAATCAAAAAATTCTTCCTTTTTTGTATAATTGCATTCCATGTATGTAAATATGTTTTTTTGGCAATAAATTTAAAAAAAACAAAAAAAACGAAGCCGTTCTCTAAATGATTTGATGTGATAAATGAAACACTTTCAATATGACAGTCAATTTCAAAATAGGAACAATTTAATTCAGAAGAGGAATCTTTAATTTGCTAGCGAATAATTTGCATCCCTCTGGCGTTTAACGTATCTCAAACATCATGCCTAGTTACAAAAAACTCACGGCACAATGTGACATGTATCTCTATAGAGTCTATGGAGTTTTATTAAATCCTTTGATTTTATTCATTGATGAATTTCTCAACCATTAATAAACTGCATTTGATCAAAAACATGATGCTTCACTTAAGTTGCGTTCAAATGGAGCGCTCAAATCCCCTGTGAACTACATGCCTCATGTAGGATGGGGTTAAGGGGTAAGTTTTGTTTGAAAACCTAATGATGTAACACCATTGCCATTTTGAGAGTTTACAAGAACAATATGTCATTGCGATCTAACCTTCCCTTTCCTGTGGGTCAAGACCATCATTTTCTTCTATGTTTTGCTGTTTTTCTTCAGCAGCTTGATCAGTAATGACTCGCTTAGGTTCTTTGTTTTCTATCCGAGCGGTATCTAGAAACACTTCTGCTCTCTTTTTGTTTACTGAAACAGAAGTATGAATGTGTAAATATTGTAAAATGACGATTTCTTTCAAAGCATTGGTTTTTGCGGGTTGCAATAGATGATGTGGCTTTTATTTTGAATAATATTTATGTGAAGGATCAAATCAATACTTACTTTACCTCAGAATCTCATAAACTCAGTGACAACTAGTGATAAAACTACATGAGGAAAGGTTCAGCGCTTACCTACACTTCCAGCATCAAGGAAGCTTTCCATTTGCTTGTCATCAGATTTTTCAATAATAGTAAGAGCAGACTCATTTTTCTTGTTCTTCATTTTTTTGTCAGCTCCATTTTTCAGTAGTTCTCTAAAACAAGCTACCTGCTTTGCACGACCAGCATACATTAGTGCCGTGTTTCCTTCCTTATCAGTCGCGTTTACATCAACATCCTTGCTCACAATGATGTTAATAAACTCAGAATAAGGTGTTTCTGCTACATACATCAACATTGTTTTATTGTCGTTGTCTACCTTATCAATAGCAGCATTATTTTCAAAAAACGTTTTTATTCTGTTTTTGTCATTTAAAGCCTTCAGAGACCACATCAACGCAGTTCTACCTGATGTGTCCTGTGAATCCAGATCTGCTCCGGATTTGATGAGAAGATCAACGCAGCTGTATGCTTTTCTCTTTACAGCCCACATCAATGGGGTTATTCCAATATTTGTTTTTGAATCAATATTTGCCCCATTCTTCAACAGAAATTTAATTACTTCAACGTTCTGATCATTCAGCGAAAACATCAAAAGTGTCCTATTGAATGTATCGCAAGCATTCACATTAAGTTTTGGTCCCATCATTTCAAATAGATGTTGCAAAAATTCTAAACGTCTGCCTGAAACGTCTTTCTGTTTATAACCACTGTCCCAGGGAAGGACCATTTCCAATACCATTTGTCCAACATCCTCTCGATGAATTGAAGTCTCGTTCCAGAGCAAGCGTTCAATTTCTTTGAAATACCCTGCTTTTGCAAAAGCTTTTATTTTCTGTAGTAATTCTGATATACTAATGTCAGTCTCGTACGGTAACAAGTGTCTCACTTTTATATTGGGTCCATTGATGATGCATTCTTCTACTTTTTGTTGTGCTTGCTGAATCAACCAAAGATGAGGATCCACATCAGTGGAAAGATGTTTAACGGCTATAATCAAAATGAGTGATCCAGTTTAACACATTGTCGAAGATTTTAAACACACATTAAAAACTGACCAATTGTCTACAGCATCACAGATCAGTGCTTTCAACCAACAGCAAATATTCAAAGGTAAATATTATTAACGATTTCAGTACCGATGAACACAATCAAAATATGTGAAAGTAATAATTGAAGAACATTAAAAACCTAATAAGTGGAAAATTATCGATCATGTCCAAAAGTAGGTTCATTAAAAATAGAAATATATATTTCTTGTGAATTGATGTTTATCAAACGAGGAATACGTTGTATATATGATATTGGAAAACGTCAAGGTAATATGCTTGAAAAACAGTAAAAAATATATTTTAACATTCATAGTCTTGCAGCAAATGAACGAAACACATTAAAATCTCAGGAATCTGCTCGGCCATTAATAACATTTCAGTGACACAAGTGATTAGTACTAATGTTGTAGTTTGTTTTGAATTGAAATTCTATCTGCCTGTTGAAACTCATATGAGCATACCAGATTGATATCAGTTACATGAACTCAAGAACAACATTTTAGGCAACCAATTGTACTTCAATCCATTGAGTTAGACATTCTTTGTTCAATTCTTTTAACAAGTTTATATGTTGCAACTTTTTAACTTTATCTCAAGTGAAGTACTACGTACCAGTCAAGTCGAGTAACCGAATCCATTCTCAACAAAGCGTCCTCGAAATAAGTATGTTTGAGTTCGGGATGATAAAAGTACGATAAGATATACAGCTCCTTAACAAACTCCTTTGGGAACAAGATATAGAATCAAATGCATATTCTTAATATCTACTCCCTGACACATGCCAACGAACGTTACATAGGTAAATATCTCTCTTCAGGTGCCATTTTTTATAATTGAAAAACAAAATTGAACATTTTGCATTTCTAAATTGATAAGTTTCTTGGAATACAACTTGGCCGTTAACGATTTAATTTAAGTCATTAATAATATTTCCCTTAGTGATCCAATGCTAAATAGATAGTAACTGGGTCCATCTTTTGCGGCAACCTTGTTTTCATGACTTTTAAACATGTGTCGACAATTATATAGGAAATTTCAATTCCAAATGTAAGCGTGTCAACTCCTGTTTTTGCACAATATTTAGCCTTTCATAATGATAGATCGCCAAAATCTGAATGCACTTCTCAATGAGGCGATATGTTTTTAAATTTATAGACGTAAGCTATAAACTCAAACAAAAATTCAAACCTATCGCTATCATTTTGATTACACAAGACGAAATTTCCACTCCCGGGGAGCACTTTGGTAACACCCTGAAGGAGGATTCTTGAAAAATCGTTCGAATTTTCACAAAAGGTTCACGCAATTTTATTATTTAAATTACAATGAAAAATTAAATTCACCAGGTTATATGATAAACCGTTTCGAGAATTGACGAATTGAGTTAACTGTGGATATTTATATAAATGTAAGTCGGCATGTATTCGACAGTTAATGTACACACATGGTGTTTGCATCAACGGTTGACTTAACTAATTGAATTAGTGACTATCATATTTGGCTTTCAAAAATTAAGTTGGAAGTAAGAGTGGTAGGAGATAAACGATAACGTCAATCACATCCAAATATCCGAACGGCGTCAAGTATTAACAATACACTTTTCAAACAAGGCAAGGTTCTGTGATCCAGCAATGTGCATTCCAAAAGAAATTAACAAATAGAAACAAATTTCATTGAGTAGGATATTACATTCGAAATCACAACTTTCAAAATGTTTGTTTTAACCGAGAATTGTTAGAACTTGAAACATGTTGTTAGTTTTTCAAACCACATATCTTCATTTACGTTCTTTGACAAGGATGAATACATTTGATAACATGATTTACTTGATTATTCTTCAAAACTACCCTTGAAATATAAGTATGTAGAATTATACAGTGTAAATTGACACACGTTTGTTTGCTCCATATCATGAAAAAATAAATGCAGAACCACCTTTCAATATTTGAAAACAGAAAGTTCATTTTGTATGTAAACAAGAAAAAATACATTTATGCTTGGTTCATAATGGGAATGACAAATAACACACATCTTTTGAAGTGGGGGTATACAGGAACATAGTGGAAATTCAGAAAAGGCCATATCACCAAGCTTGCTTCACCAATATGTAACAGAACATCACAATTATCATTTACACGTTTGCTGATAGGTTTATTGAAAATAATTAACCGGAGGTTTACTTCAATTGTGGCACCATTCTCACTAAATATTGATGAACATATGGATATCAAATGTTGACTAAGTTACTTGACTTGACTGGTACGTGTATATCTTATTCTAGAAATGAAAGATAAATACACTTTGTCTCTTGTCTGCCAAATAGATTTTTTATCTTTATTAATCTGGAAAACTAAAAGAACTCCACAAAATTATCTTCGAATTATACATTGAATCCGCCTGAAACTTTTTTCTAGAGGAAAAACAGTGAGACTACAGAAATGAGACAAACCCATAACTTACATCTACATGTAATCTAAATAATCTGTCATTTTGCTGTCAACCAAAACACTGATAAAAACATAAACGCTTTTGACATTGGAAAGTTATATGTACTACTATTCATATTAACTGATTTTGGAAGATGATAGAAAATGTTCTTAATGTATATATATGTGGCCAAGATACCATTGAATATGCTTCAAAATATAAATATCTGGGTATATGGCTAGAGGAACACTTAGATGCCAAAATCATCGCAAGTGAAATTGCCAAATCAGCTTCAAGAGCCCTGGGAGTAATTACAACTAAAGCAAAAGCTACTGGTGGAATGGACTTCAAAGTGTTTAACAAGCTATATGACTCCCTGGTACAACCAGTGATCAACTACGGCAGTGCTGTTGTTGGCCTTAGGGAACATAGATGCCTAAATAATATACAAAATCGAGCTGGTAAATCATTCCTTGGTGTAAGTCCAAAAACCAACAATGAAGCAGTTCGCGGTGACCTTGGGTGGAGCCCTCTGGTGGATAAAACAAGATTGGAATGTGCCCGCCAGTACCTGAGATTACACAATATGGACCATAATAGATTGAACTATAAAGTGCATGTTTGGTCATTAAAACAAAAAAGAAGTTGGGACTATCATACTAAAACAATGTTGTCAAACAATGGTATTTCCACTGATAATAATATTTCCTTACATGTAAAAACAACAATACAACTTTTAAAGAACTGTTTCAATTCGAAAGATCCTTTCTTGAAAAACATCTGGAACGATAAAAATAATGTGCAAAATGGAAATAAGCTTCGAACTTATAGAATGTTCAAATATGGAGTTGTAACTGAATCTTATGTATCTGATTATATTCCAAGACATCATAGAAGTATGCTTGCCAAACTGAGAACAGGTAGTCTCCCACTTAACATTGAGACTGGTAGATGGTCAAACATAGCATTGCAAGATCGAACTTGTAAATTATGTGAAAGTAACACTATTGAAGATGAATTGCACTTTGCCATTCAATGTAAACATTACTCCAGCCTCAGATCACACTTTTATGAAACTGTTACAAACATTTTGACGCCACATATAAAAACAAATAATGACAATGATTTACTTCTATTTATTAGTCTCATGCATTCAAAATCAATTCAAAGGCAATGGGCTGCTCTCTTGCATAACATGTTTGTAAAGAGACAATTTGACCTTGAAAGGCTGACTGAAACATAATTATTTGTAATGTCCTAATGTATGTTTCACCATAGTCATTCGATTGAGTGCCTCATTACTTTTATACTATAATTTAACTAGTCAATTTAAAGAGGCAATATGTTACATGTTAACTCTTTCTATTTATTATGTATATGAATTTATAATTATCAAACCTGTGCAATACTTGGGATAAATTGTTTTATTATACATTACTGATACGCATTGTCTACAGTCTGACAGTATATGCTTAATGTTCTTGCGATAATAATTTGGAAGTTAGTGACCAGTGTCTCATAAGCCGACATCGGCTGGTGGTATTTTAACTATGTTCTTATATATGTATTAATTGTATCATACCAGTGACACTTAAATAAAATATTTTAAACTTAAACTATATGTTTATACTATCGAACTACATTCTTCCCTTTTAAATGAAAAATGAAATGAACAAATATGATGTAAAAAGAGAATTGACATTGATTTTACGTATTAAATACTGATATGTTCCTTCGATCATTACATTTGTCACTATGGACATTATGATTGAAAAGAGAAAATAGCTATATTGACAAAACCTTTTTTACTGAAGAATTAGGATTTTTATGTATTTACCCCTTTCTTACCCCCAACTTACCTCGTTTTGGTGGATTTAAAAAGTACCATTTATATGAAATTATCTTCTGAAATTCGTATGGGATCATTCGGAAGAGTTCCATTTTGGTCTTAAGAACACCAGACTTGTCATTCAAATAAGATAATGGATCTGGCTTTAGTCATTCTGAAAGAAAAGCAGTGATTAGTAACGAACGGAGTAAGGCTAGACAAGCACTGTACTGTATCAATAGCATCTTATAAGATGCCTATGGACAACTTATCCCCTAAATAACTCATCCCCTGGATATTTAACCCCCTAGACAACTCATCCTTTATCACATGAAGCCAAATGAAGTGTTTCTGGAAAAGAAATATTTAACAAATACACCTTGTATCATTCTGAATATTATTTTTCACACAAATAAATTAGTCAAACGGTGCCATTAAAACTTTCTTCTCTTGTCCTTCTATTACATGACCTAATATTTCATGACAAAAAAAGTTTTCTTTCTGCATAATTTTAAGATGAACTTCAGTAGCTTCATCGGTGAATACTGTGAAAAAATAATATTTGAATTAAAGTATATTTGAACTATGAACAAAAAACATATTATGACATCAAAGGAGCTTCTTCAATCGGACCCTTCAACCAATATAATACAATATAGAAATTGTATCTTAAAAGTAAATAAAAAAGTAAATATTTACAAAACAAATTACAGATTAATTGGTTGATTATCTCATTGACAATATCATAATTTTTTAAACAATTTTCCAGATTTCCCCTCCAGAAAGATTTTGTTCACTTGTACTCCATTCGATTATGCTTTTTACCGAATCAGATCTCCTCAGTAACAAAATGTCCTTGAAGGTGCGATTTCCCTTTTCGATATTTCACCAGTTGTAGGCAGATTTCCAACAACATTTTTATCACTAACGTGTGTCAGTATCATATGTCTAAGAAAATATACATTAGACAACACGGTCATCAATTTAATACCTCACTTTTGATACATAAACGGAACTTCAAAATCGGCCTTGACTTCTAACTCTCCATTTACATAACAATAGACAGTGGCGTAGCCAGCAATTGGTGACCAGGGGTTCGATTTTTATGTTATCCACAAATCTCCCCCTTCATCGGTGTACCTCACATAAAGAGTTCATTCACAGATATGTCAAATTCTGAAACATACAATTCCCACACTTTTAGCTGACTTTTGAAAAGATTCCAAATCAAATGAATTTTATTTGCTATTTCATTTTGTTATAGAGGAGTTCATAATGACCTCATTAACTTACAGTTACTTACTGATCAATAGCAAATATTTTTGAAGAATCTAATATTTATTTAATCGTGGCGCACAGTGACAGTTGACAAATAGTATTGTAGTACAGTCAAGTCGAGTAACTAAGTCAACATTCGAAAATAAAAATCTCAAAAATCGTACATCTTTGATTTCCAAAATAATTTGTGAGGTGGTTATTTAGATGATAATACACATTTTTATGTATTGATTTTGAGTACACCTCCAATCCATTCTCAACAAAGCGTTCTCGAAATAAGTATTCGAAATGTTTGAGTTCGGGATGATGGGTTCTGTACATTAAGATATACCGCTCCTTAACAAATTCCTTTGGGAACAAGATATAGAATCAAAAGCATATTCTTCTTATTTACTCCCCGACACATGCCAACGAATGTTACATAAGTAAATATCTCCGTTTTGAATAATTTTGTAAACGTTGTTCTCTACGTATGGTGTATTTATTGCATCAATATTCTTAACATTAATATCTTCGGTTTTTACCCCACGGAGTAAGTTAAACCGAACATAAACAAAACCAGTTACTACAAATGGTACCTACTATCCCACATATAATTGACTGTCTTACACAACAAATATGTAAGATGCTTCAAAAGTGTATTCGACCCGATCAAATTTGATAGTATTTAAATATGTGCGATGCCAAGTACCATTCGTATTGGGTAAACATATTCATTTGTGCTAAACATATTCATTTGTGGGGTAAGTCACGTGACTTACCGAATGATTTTATATAAACCATTGTTCACTGTTTTGATGTGGGGTAAGTCACGTGACTTCGACCATGTGACTTGCGCCATCTATATATTCAAAGAGCTCTGGTGTGATTCTCCAATCGCGAAAACGTATCTTCTATTAAGAAAGGATCGCTTATGTAGCCTCATGCCTGTTGTAATGATCTAATAACTTCTCAATTTCTTCTATGAATTGTGAATATGAATCGTATTCAAATTCTTTTTCCTCGCTTGTTTCATCCATTTTGAAATTTCTACGTCACTGGTCACGTGATTTACCGAATGGTTTTATGCTACGGGTTAACCCAACTAATTGTTATAACATGCGTATTCCCATACAAACGATCTGTCTTCAAGAGAAAACTAAGATTTGTGGACATGTTTTGCTATCATTGCATCATATCCCAGTATGTCCTCTATCAGTCAAAAAAGTTTGAATCAAAACTCCCCACGAAAATCAAAAGATCTCACCTGTTGAAGACGCCATCTATAGAAAATGTCAAAAAATGTCATTCTGATTTTGACAGATGGAGGCAGGTCAAAAAGGTCAAATTTTTTAAAGAAAATGCACCTTAATCACATCAAATCATGTCTCAGAGTTGGTCCACACATACACTTTTTCATTCATGTACTTACCAAAATCCAACCACTGGTGATGCTAATGTAATTACAATAATTGGACTATATTTTTGTTTTTATAATGCCATCTATTCGTCTTCCCACTCGGCGGAAGAATCTAATGGTTGTGTGTCTCCTACATGCATGTGTCATTTATGTGGGGTAAGTCACGTGACTTATCCCACATAATTTTATGCGAAACATGTCATTAATTATATTGGGTAAGTCACTATATGTCCGTGCTATTTTGTACTCTATGATTGTTCGGTAAATGAACATTGTTTGGTTCTAAAGTGTATTTGTATTTGATGCGTGTTCTAAATATATGTGTCAACTGTCTTTGTTCGTGTGTGTACATGGACTTAAATATGTGATATTTTACCAAACACTGAGTAACATAAACCGCATATACAAGTGCATTTACCGCATATATAGGTACATAAATCAAATATAAATGTGTAAAAACAAACAAATTTATTACGTGTTTCGAATCATTTTAATAGAGTGGAATATCGAATGGTTGTAATCAAATACAAAAGTGTGAAAATTGAATAAAGATGCAGAAAAAATTCTACTCTACAGGTGCCATTTTTTATAATTGAAAAACAAAATTGAACATTTTGCATTTCTAAATTGATAAGTTTCTTGGAATACAACTTAACCTTTAACGATTTAAGTCATTAATAATATTTCCCTTAGTTATCTCAATGTTTTATGTTCAACCTTGTTTTCATGACTTTAAAGCATGAGTGGACAATTATGTAGGAAATTTCAATTCCAAATGTAAGCGTGTCAACTCCTGTTTTTTCACAACATTTAGCCTTTTATAATGATAGATCGCCAAAATCTGCATGTACCTCTCAATGAGGCGATATGTTTTTAAATTTATTGTAAGCTATAAACTCAAACAAAAATTCAAACCACCCGCTATTATTTTGATTGCACAAGACGAATTTTTCACCCCCGGGGAGCACGTTGGTAACACTTTGAAGGAGGATTTTTGAAAAATCGTTCGAATCACGAAAACGTCAAGCACATCCAAATATTAACACCTTTCGTGCATCTCGAACAAGGCAAGGTTCTGTGATCCAGCAATGTGTATTCCAAAAGAAAAAATTCACAAATATCATGGGCTTTCAATTAGAGTTGAAAGCCCATGCAAATATCAACAAATTTCATTGAGTAGGAGATTACATTCGAAATCACAACTTTCAAAATATTTGTTTTAACTAAGAATTGTAAGAACTTGAAACATGTTGTTAGCTTTTCAAACCGAATATCCTCATTTACGTTCTTTGACAAGGATGAATCCATTTGAAAACATGGATTTTCTTGATTATTCTTCAAAACAATCCTTGGAATATAAGTATGCAGGATATTACAGTGTAAATTGACACTCATTTGTTTGCTCCATATCATGTAAAAATAAATGCAGTACCATCTTTCAATATTCGAAAACAGAAAGTTCATTCTGTATGTAAACAAGAAAAAATACATTTATGGTTGGTTCAATATGAAAAATGACAAATAACATACATCTTTTGAAGTAGGGGTATACAGGAACATAGTGGAAATTCAGAAATTTAGGCCATATTCCCAAGATTGCTTCACCAATATTTAACTGAACATCAAACTTATCATTTACACGTTTGCTAATAGGTTTATTGAAAATAATTAACCAGAGGTTTACTTTAAAGTGACTCTCTTAGACTTCAGAGGCCAAAATTGGGGATTTCAAAAATACTTTTCAAGAAAATAGTCTTACCTTTCTATTAGGATGGGTTCAGGTGCCAAAAATAGCTGATCCATGAATATATATCATTTTGAAAATTGGAAGTAAGAATTTTGTTTTGGAGGCCATGTTTTTTTGACAGTCATGACAGGAAATAGATTCTCAAAATGAAAACTGGATTAACAGCATTAATTCTGAATTTGGCTTAGAATACTTACTCAGATATGCATTCTTATATTATTAGCATTATTATTGACTACTATTTAATAATTGTCTTGTCGAGGAAAAACATTTTTCTGAAATTAAGAATAAATACTAAAAAATGCACCTAATAAGTTGAGCCCGGCCATGGCATATCATGTTTTCTTTTTTTCTTTTTTTTCTTTATTTCTGAGCCACAATATTTTCTCTATCTCATTTTTTATAGCACAGTGTCATATTTATTACTTTTTGGGGTTTTTAAAATATAGGTAAAATGTCTATGTGTGGCTTTAATTGTGGCACCATTCTTAGTAAATATTGATGAAAATACGAATATCAAATGTTGACTAAGTTACTTGACTTGACCGATTAATGGAATGAAACATAGTCTGAAATTCAAAAAGACCAAATTGAAATAACAATATTTATTCCATAGTTAGCATGATATTCATAGGATAACATGTGAAAATAAAAACGGTATTTTTGTAATCAGTGGTAAAATATGATATTTTTGACAAATTTTCACTTAACCATAACATACGTTTTTTTAACCATGACATACGACGTCGTA